AATCCTCACCGATGATGACGTAATCACTGACGCACCGTCGTCGACCATGAGTCTCAGGGCTGGATCGGGTCATTTCCCATCAATCAGTTTTCTTATTCGTGAAAGCCAACTGGCGCTTCACCACACATTTTGCCCGAGGAGACGGACCGTGCTGGCGCTGCAACAGAGTCTTCAGTGCGAGATGTGGTGGCGGCTCTCAGACAGAAATGGGGGACTGCGTTTATGGCGGCGTCCGTTGTCTGGAGCATGTGGGCGAACGACATTATTCGGAATGGTGACCACTCTACATGGATTACCGACATAGCAGACCCGCCACCCCGCTACGTTGCCAACCTACTATCGCCAGCTGAATCGCGTTTAGAGGAGCACCTATCAGGTGTAGCTCAATCGACAAACTTGTAATTAGATTGTGTGAGAGCTTCTATTGCTGACTGCCAGCTACTGCGTCGCCTCCTGGTTTCTGCTGTACGCTTTGTTGACGAACAAGAGCAGCGCTTGGCGGCGCGTGAGGCCGTCATTGAAGGGGTCCTCCGCGACATGGTGCCTCCCTCACCAAGCCAGATAATCGACCCGCTGCCACGAATCGAGAACGTTAAAGACACAGAACATGCCGAGTGAAACGCGCTATTGTTTTGCGACTTTTGAGGTTTACGTTTACGCAAGAAGGATTATACGCTACGGTTGTTTGGGAAGCTTCGTTACGCCTCTTCAATCTCGGTAAATCCTAATTGATCTTGATTGGAGTCTTCTGCATTCACTTCTGGTTGCTTTGATCGCTCAATTGAAAACGGCCCGACAGGATCAAAGCATCCTTGGATCTTCCAGCCGCAGTGCTCAAAAACCTTACTCATATTGAATCGTTGATATCGGCGGAATGTCTGGATAACAAAGGGCATCAAGTCTCGCCCACTTGTCTCGAGGTAGTGACGTTGAAATGACCTCTTCACGTAGCCGAACAGGAATTCAATTGAATTGAAAAGGGGCAATATGCGGGTAAGAAAATTGCTACAATGCACACGCTTCGAAGGTAGTAGATGAAATCGGTGTGCCTGTGGATTGTAGCACCATCCTAAATCCAAACAGAATTACGACCAGGATATTTGCGTACTGGTCCACCAGGACAGTGAACAAAGTCTTGACAGCATTTCGTGAACTCCAAGCGATTGAAGGCGCCCTCCGTGCTGAGAATTCCATTCACGCCAATAAATGCCAAGATGGACACTCGCGGTTTTCGCTCAAAACCACCTCGAATAGCAACCTTCTTCCCACGAAGAGAACACCCGCGCTTGCGGATCATTCCTCGGTTGTCAAAGCTAACCTCATCCAGGAATACCAAGTTCTGGTGGCACCAATCAATGTGGCTTAGCTCCTCCACAAAGCGTAAAATATCTCGCTCCTTAATATGCATTGCGCGGCGCTCTAAAACTTTCCATGTGAGCCCAAACTCGTGAATTATTCTCCAGACAGAAGTCTCCGAGATGTCGACGGATTGTGCTTTCTTGAAGGCGTCTTGGGCTTCATCCAGGTACGCGAGAGGATGTTCATGAGAGTAATCGAACAGCCAGTGTCGTTGAGCATTCGTGAATTGGCTTTTAGAGGCGGGATTGGCGCGCAGGAAGGTTCCAGTATTATGATAGACATTCACCCAGTTGCGAATGGTCCGTTCCGACTTGTTGAAGAAATGCGCGAGGTGTTTCTTCGAGTGCCAAGCTTGTAGTACGTACGCGTACAAGCAATGGTACACCGTGTTGGCGTGGGCATGCTGCCGCGTAGCAGCCTCCTTCATGGTCTTTTGCGCACTGCGGTCACGTCAACTTCAACGTGTATCTAGTATCTCATTGGATTATAAAAATAATTTTCTTAATTTTGGCCTCTAACAACGCAGTGTCGATTCGCCGTTCGCTTCGCGCCTTTCTTCGAATCGCCCCGCTTCGGCAAATTTGGGCGGAATTGACAATACCTTAGTACTTAAAACTCGTGGTACACATGCTGATTTCGAGAGATCTGATTGGCCAATGGGCAAATATGTTTACTGGATGGCATTCAGACAAAAAAAAACATTAACATTTTAACGGCTTTTTTTCGTCTGAGTGGCATCCCAGCCAATCAGATCTCTCATGCTACCATGGATGCCATTCAGACGAAAACAACGCATTACATTTTTGATGGGTTTTTTTCGTCTGAATGGCATCCAACAGCATGTTTTATTTGGGTTATTCGAAACCCAACTCAAAATAGTCAAATTTTGGGTCGTCATAATATATGCTTGGATGGCAATCAGATCTCTCATGTTACATTTTTTTAACAAAAATAATTATGTTTAAACATATTTACTCAAGTATTTTATCTTTTTTAAAAATTATTGATTATGCTAAAAAGGACATCAATGCTAGCTGAAAATTAATTTCGAAATCGGGTACCTGAAAATTAATATTTTATTTCCGGTTTTTTTTTTTTTTCGTTTTGGAGCCCATAAAGCCATGGCCCGCAGCAGTAGCCCGTTGGCCTCGCGCTCCCGTTCGCGCTCCCGTTCGCGCTCCCGTTCGCGTTCCAGACGTCACCGCCGCCGACGAACGCGCAGTCCGTCTACTTCATCATCTGCCTCCTCTTCCTCACGTTCTCGCTCCCGTTCCAGCTCCCGCAGTGCGTCTCCGCCGCCACGCAAGAAATCTCGGCGTAAATCTCACGACGATGACGCAAAGACGCCACCCAGAGCGCGAGGTGACTTACCGGGCGACACCACGCCCCCGCGCCGCACAAAAGATGACACAGCTGACGTCACACCCCCGCGGCTTCCATTGAAGAAGGACGACAAGAAGGAGGACACTTCGGATACCAAGCCAGCTCGCAAGAGGACACTTCTGGTGGACGCTCGTGCCAGTGGACGCACTGGTGGCGTCTACATTCCACCCTTCAAGCTGGCGCAGCTGCAACAACAGCAAGAGAAGGACATCGGACCGTCCTCTGAGGAGATGCAGCGCCGCACATGGGACGCACTGCGTAAAAGTCTCAACGGACTCATCAACAAGGTCAATGTGGCCAATCTGAGCAACATTCTGCCCGAACTCTTCCAGGAAAACCTGGTACGAGCCCGTGGGTTGCTGGCCAGAGCCATAATGAAGGCGCAGTTAGCGTCTCCGGGCTTTACGCACATCTACGCGGCTCTGGTGGCCGTGATCAACACTAAAATGCCTGAGAACGGCGAGCTACTTGTTAAGAGAGTGGTTTTCCGCTTTCGCCGAGCCTTCAAGAGAGGAGACAAAGTGGTAGCCATCGCTCTCGTGAGGTTTATCGCCCATCTGGTGAACCAACAGGTCGTACACGAGCTACTGGCACTCGAGGTGTTGACGCTGCTACTGGCTAACCCCACTGACGACTCTGTGGAAGTTGCAGTGAATTTCACGAAGGAATGTGGACAGATCTTGGCCGAGTTGTGTCCCGAAGGACTACGCGCCATCTTTGAACGATTCCGAGGCATTCTGCACGAAGGAGAGATCGATAAGCGCGTGCAGTACACGATCGAAGGATTGTTCGCCATCCGCAAAGGTGGATTCGCAGACTACCCAGCTGTGCATGAGCAATTGGATCTGGTCGAGTCTGGAGACCAGATTACACACGAGTTAACGCTGGAGGACCCAATCGACTGCGAGGACAAGTTGGATGTGTTCCGCTTCGATCCGGACTATGAGAAGAACGAGAAGATGTGGGCGGAGATTAAGAAGGAGATTCTGGGCGAATCCGACTCGGACTCGGACTCTTCCAGTGGCAGCGACAACGACGACGGGGATGACGAGGATGAGGATGAACAACCAGTGCCTGCTGACAATAACATGGCTATTCAGGACTTTACAGAGCAGGATCTCGTGAATCTACGTCGCACAATCTACCTGACGATCATGTCCAGCATCACACACGAGGAGTGTGCACACAAGTTGATGAAGCTCAACATTCGCCCTGGTCAGGAGAAGGAGATCTGCTCGATGCTTATTGAATGTTGCAGTCAGGAACGGACCTATCTGCGCTACTATGGACTACTAAGCGAGCGGTTCTGTCTGATCAAGCGCGAGTATCAGGATGCGTTCGACGAGTGCTTTGCCGAGCAGTACTCGCTGATTCACCGTCTTGAGACCAACAAATTGCGTAACGTGGCGAAGCTATTTGCTCATCTGCTGTTCACAGACGCGCTGCCGTGGACAGTGTTCGAGTATATTCACTTGAACGAGGAGGAGACGACGTCATCCAGTCGTATTTTCATTAAGATTTTGTGTCAGGAGCTCTCGGAGCATCTCGGTATGAAGACACTGAAGGAGAGATTCCTGGATGAGATCATGCAGCCGACGTTTGCTGGTCTGTTTCCCAAGGACAACCCGCGCAACACTCGCTTTGCCATCAACTTCTTCACTTCGATCGGTCTTGGTGGACTCACGACAGACTTGCGCGAATATCTGAAGAACGCCCCGAAGATGATCATGGAACAGGCAAAGGCTGCGGCTGATAGTAGCGACAGCAGCGACTCGGATTCAGACTCGGACTCGAGTGATAGCAGCAGTAGCAGCGGCAGTTCTTCAGATTCGGACTCCGACTCGGATTCCGACTCGAGTGACAGCAGCAGCGACTCGTCCGATTCCGACTAAGCCGAAGAAAAAGTTGCAGTGCCAAGGAGGTGAGCTGTGCATAGAACGCCAAAATCTAATGAGAATGCACATCTAACACGCCTGAAAGTGAGTTGTCTTGCAGTTTTATATGTGCAGACTCCTAAAAATACTGCGTCGATTTCTCTGTGCCGGTGTTAATCACTCATCACCTTTTTTTTCCTGTAGTCTGTGTTTGCTACAATGAAGTTGCTGGCGTCTGGTGACACCACGAGGAGGCTGGCAGCTCCTCCCGAGTCAATTGGATGCCTCGCTTGTCATGGTCGTTTCTTTACGGCATCATTGCCCATTCACCAGAAGACTTGTTTCCAACGCAACGCTTTTGTGCTGGTTCCTTGTGAAAGATGCAAGTCATGTGTCCGGTACGTGAGTGTTAGGATGAGGCCAAGGACGTGATACTAAACCTACTTTTACTTGTCAGCGCTGGCGACTTTCATGCTCATGTTGCCTCATGCACGGGGAAGCCTTTGGCTGTCGACAAAAGCACAATTGGCTTTGGTGTCAAGCAGCGTTCTAATCGGACTCAAGTAGTCCCAATGGATTTGAATACTCCTGACCCGGACGGACGTGTACGATGCAAAGTCTGCGAGCGAACTTTCGCACAAGATCGGATCTCGAAGCACCAATCCGTTTGTCACGGCAAGCCTCGCTCGAAAGAAAATCACAAACCCAAGCAAAGATCTGTACTACCAGTCCGACAAGAACAAACCTCGACAATGGATTCAGTAAAACGAAATGTCGAGCGTCCTCTTCGCATTCAACGTGCTCCAGCACAACCTCGTGGAGTATCGTTTGGCTGTGTTCCTAACAGAAACAATAGAGTGGAGCTCAGAGACATCACACCCTGTCAATATCGCAGGTATCCGGGGGCACAGGCCATGCATGGTGGAGGCTGTGATACCTCGAACGCGAGCTCGGCCAGCAATCCGTTAGCTACAAATCCACTGATGACTATGAGGAGATAAGGGAGATGAATATGTTACGAAATGCACACTACTTACTGCTACTATGTACGATTATCTCGATCGCATCAAACAACCTCCATGAGCATCGCCACTCCTGCAAGTACCCACTTTGCCGGTGGAACTTTCGTCCTGAGTGGTGACATGAAAATCAACGTCGGTCCACGCTGTTGAGTCCTGTACACAGGACACTCAAACACGTTGCTGGCTCCTGCTTTGCCCCCACCTCCACTTCCTGGCCCACTCGACTGGTCTTTATTCCCTGTGTTCACGATAGCTCGACATGTGAGCACAGGCATCGACACATACATTTCTCGGGGTAAACTTGACTCCAGAACGCCATTACCGAAGTCCCAACGCGCACCTTCGAGGTACAGACCATGAATAAACTGGCCATCGCGAGCAGGAGCATCCACCGTATCAATCGTTCTCTTCGTCACGTCAGCTGTGATTCGTAGCGAGTCCAGCTCCACGTTGTGTTTGCGAGCGGCGGTCTGGAGCACGGAAGTGAGGAAAGCTTGAGGGTTGAAGAGTCCAGGCAACCACAAAACCAACGGCAGCTCAGGAGCTGACCCGATCCACTCCTGGAGCTGTGCAATTCGTTGCTGTAAATTGGCCAACCACGGCGCAAGTGACCGACGCGATGGACACGCTGCAGCCAACCAGTTATCCGGGACACGTTCGTAGTACAGGAACGTTTGCAGCTTCTCCATCGTCTCAGTGAGCGGGACGTCTCCACGGAATGCCAACTCCAATTCTGCCAACGAATCCGTCATGGTCTCGAGTAGATAGTTCATACGCTGGCACTCTTGAAGCAGCACAGTCTGGAACGGATCCATGTCATCAGCGTCGGGTGTCGCTACAGACGAGAAGAGTCTGCCTCCTTTACCTCGTCGCGAGGAGCCGTCACGTGAGCCTGAGTCGGAGGACCCTTTGAAGAAAAGCTCTTGGATATCAAACCGGAAGTCCCTGTAGTTCTCAAGAACGTCCTGCAGCACTCCCTCGGCTGCGAGTTGAACCGCGTCGCCAGTCTCTTTCGCACCAGACCCACCGGTGCCTTCGTCTTCGTCATCACTGTTGTCGCCATGAACGTCTTCTTCCTTTGTAGTTAGAAGCAGCATCGACTGCAGTAGAATCTGACCATTCTCAGTTCGAAATGCAACCTCGGCATTCGGATGCAGCCCAAAAGCAGTCGGCGTCTCATTCAGCAGCGACGTGTTCACATGTTCTAGAATGCGATCAAAGCCAGCAGACAGCTTCGGTGCCAAGAACTCGCGACGTTGCTGTCCACCACTCGGACCGTCTCCTCCATCGCCTCCTCCACCTCCTCCATCCTGTCCGCTGTTTCCACCACCGCTAGCTCCACTCGCATCGTCACCAAACGGAAGCATCGACAGCTCTTCCAATAGTTCGTCACGCAGGAAATACTGCAGATACGTAGCAGCCACGAGTCGATCCAGCTCGTTCACTATGTGGCCTCCATACATGATCTCACCGAACAGATACCGTAGATCCGGCCACGGTACACGTGCCGGAGCATTGTCCATGTAGTTTCGCAGTACTGTACTGCTGGCAAGTAAGTCGCTGGCAGCAAATGGGTACAGCATGTTGAATCCCTGCGGTCCAAACTTCTTGCGCTCCAGCATGAGCGAGTGGAAGTAGCAGAGAGCAAACAAAATACAACGTGTGCGAGGTTCCAGCTCGTCGACGATAGTCTTGGGGAAGCAGCAGAACGCACGCTTGACGTTGGCACGAAGTCCAGTCGGAGGCTCGTTGGTGAGCTTAATAGATCTCTCCAAGACGCCAATAGGGATGTTCGTGGACGGATCACTGGTGATGAACAAACGAAAGTTCGGATGCAACGTCCCGATGCCACTTCCTGTAGTTGCAGCTCCAGCCGGAGGCAACAGCGACAATGATCGACTTGTCCCCATGCGAGTGATATCCTTGCTACTCGACAGATTGCTACGAAGTGTAGCGTAGGAAGCCGTTTTACTCGCCTTGGCTAACTGCTCCAGCCACTTATCCAGTTCCAGCATCCACTTGGGCATCAAGTGAACGTTGTTGAGAATCACCCAGTGACCATTCTCCACCGACAAATGCAGCGTCTTCATGGCCACCTGCTCTTGACCTTGACCCAGCGCAATGTTGTGGTAGTCAACGCCCTTAATTCTCTCTTGGTCTTGCACTGCCAGTTTATCCACATCGGCCACAACATCCGAGCCTGGAGACAGGATGAAGTACATGGGCGTCCACGGAGAGCTCTCCTTGAACGCACTCTGTAAGATCGCAAAACTGTTGAGTTGGCTGTCACAATTGAGGAATTGACAACCGTTAGGGAGCGTCTGGACGATGAAGTTGCTCACTGCTTGCGTCAATCGATCAGGCCGCAGACACTTGACCACCAGCAGCTTCAAGAACGGCGCCGACTTGTCCAGTTCGCGCCAATCCAGTGGCAATTTCTCCAACTCGGGGCTAGTTGAGTTGTACCATTCACGGAAGCGCGGTTCAGACTCCTCAAAATCCGACACGAATCTCTCGAAAGGAGCCAACGTGATCAGAGCTTGCAACGACTGCCACTGTGACTCGTTCAGCCACGATATCGTGTTCTCTGGGCCCACAATCTTCGATCCTTGCAGTAAAAACCGCGCATATTGAGGTTCATAGCCACTGTTTGCGCCGATAACCCCACGACGAAGCAAAAGAAACATCAGTTGCGTCAGGAAGAGCAATTTATGCTCTTCGTAGAGACCTCTCGTCACCATTGAGAAGATGGTCCAGCGCAGTGCCTCCTTCAAAATCCCCACGCGATCACGAGCATTACCGCTGTGAGTATCGTCCGATGTTAAAGCTGGCGGAGCGACTCCATCCAAAGCCACGAAGAAGAAGGTCATGTACGACTCGAGCGAGTAGCGATACATGTGGTTCACCTTGCAGAGCTGACTCATCAAGAAGTACATCATGCTCGCTTCATTGGCCACAGGACGGTAGACCTCTCGAGCGAGGTTAATCTCTCTCTCGGCATCTTTGCCTTTCCTCAATGCGATCCCAACATCAATAGCTGTGAATTTCGTCTTCTCTAGGCCTTCGATCAGCGGGACATCAGACAAAATGTCGTCTGGAGCATTCGATAGACGCTCCAGCAAGTCGTTCTCGAGCTGTAATAGCTGGATCTGATAGCCGTTGAACTCTTGTTGGAGTTGGCGCTTCTGCGTCTCTAAGTCGGGTTGTTCCAGGTTCACCACATTAGCGAGAAGTTGGTCCTCCAACCCCTTCTCCGTGACACTGAAGTCGATGAGCGTGCAGTACGCTAAGATTTCCGGTCGGTAGTGAGGGTTTGGGAGCTTTGTGTGCAAGTACAAGCGAAAGCGAGGGTCCACTTCAATCTCCTCAGCTGCGAACTGGAGGAACCAGTTGCGCCCTTTCTTGTAGATCTGCCGCATGATGACAGGTTCCAAGGACGCGTCAATAGTCTCTCCAAGGTTCTCTAAGATGACGCTCTGTCCGCTTGTAATTGCAGTTTTCAACGTGGTTGTCCAGTTCTTCTGTGCAGGCTGAAGAATCACCAGAGATTGGCCAACAGATTCGTACTCGTCCTGATCTTCAGCTTTCTTGTGTCGGAAGTCGCGAGCTCGTAGCCAGATAATTCCTTGCAGTTGAGGATCCACAAGAAGCGGCCAGCGTTGACATGACGTGATGATGCATCCATTCTCGATGGAGATACGATCGGCTGGCAATCCTTCATTCATCCACTGAGCCACGTCACTGCTGTCACTGAGCACATCAAGCGGATCGACGCCCATACTTCCACTTGGAGCTGAGGATGCAGCCGTCGATGGTTCCATCAAGGAATCAGTATCGTTAGTTGATTCTCCATTATTAGCGTTCTCAGCTCCGTTCGAGCCACCACCCATGTCTGCTGGAGTTCCAAGCGTAATTGGGATCTCTCGAGTCACGATATCTGGTAACCAAGTATTTTTCCACAGCTGCGCTCGGAAGCTCGCGTTAAATGCGCCGATGTAACTCACAAATCCTGCCGCGAGCAGCGAATCACCGATAAGCGCGCTCTCACCAGCTCTCAGGGCGTCAATCTCGTGACTCCATCGCTCTTTCTCCGACGCGAGACCGTTGACGAGACGCTCAGCTAGAGACAAACGCTCTTGACACGCTTGCGCTTCAGCCTCGACTTTTGCCTTCTCGTTTGTAGCATCTCTGAACGATGCTTGCAGCGCGTTCAGATGAGCTTCGACTTCGGCCACCATCTTCTGTACTGATGCTAACTCACTATCCGCTTCAGCCTTGGTCTGACGAGCCTTTTCGAGTGTATCCATCAATGGTTTGACACGGACGAAGACCTGGTGGAACGAGATGATGTTGACGACCCACACGCACAAGTTTGCGGCAGCGACGGACTTGCTCTTCATCTTTTCGTAGTTGAAATTCGGGTCTTCTTGGATCAGCGGCTCCACACGCGCGACGACATCGAGAGGGATGTTCTCCTTGTCGTACTGCTCGAGAGATTGCTTGAAGACATCCACCTTCGCCATCATCTTCTTGGCGTTGTCCCAACTAAAGTTCTTGGTCTCTTTCTTGACCATCATGAGAACTGCTGCGGTTACTTTCTCCACACCAGCAGGAGGTTTGCCCATGGACTTTAGTTCGGTCAATGACGCCTTGTTGAGGCAATTCACAGCTTGCTGGGCAGCATCTAACGCTGGTTTGGCGATTGCAAGTTCAACAGACGCCTGTGCTTCAATTTGTGAAGCGATCTCGGCTGCCTGGGCTGCTTTAGCGCGCTCTTCATCGGCACGACGCTGCTTTACTTCGGCATCTCCACGCTGCTTCCCCATCTGCTCCAGTAAGAGATCTGTAGCCTTCTTTCGCTCTTCCACTTTCTTCATTGTCAGTTTCAGCTCATCTTGGAGTCCTGCAACGTCCTGTGAAGTCTTCTTCAGTGTCGCCAAACCCACTTCAAGACGCTTGATCTTAAGTGTTTGAGACGAACGCTTCGTTCCCAGAAGCGATCGGTAGAAGCGAATAAGCTCCAAGAAAGAGGTTGGAGTCACGTAGTTGTGACGTCCGTAGCTCTTCGCATACATCGTACAAGCCGTTGTCACCGACATGTGCAACTCGGCCATGTGATGACAGACATTCTCCTGGATCGCACGTGTGGACAGATCCACGTCTTGAAGGAAATTGAGCGACACATCCACTAGCGCTTCTTTCGACCACGGATGGAACCAGTTCATAGTACAGCAACTCATCAGAGACGGGAAGTTTCTGCATCGAATACGCAGATCGCCACCCACTGGTGAGAAGGCCAAGATGAGGTGCAGATTGCTTCGTACTCGGTCGTAGAAGAACTCTTGGAGCTGCTCCTTCGTGTCTGGAATCCCACGTGCCTTCGCTTCCATTCGTAAGGACCCCGCCATGGACTCCATCTCTTCACTAGAAAACAGATCCGCAATACATCCAGAGGTCAACGCATCGGTCAGTGGCACTAAGAAACGATTGTCAGTGATCTGAGAGTCTGTGAGTAGCAGCACGATCGGCTTCGCTGGTCGGACGCCTGCTTTGCGGTAGATATCCTTAAAGTCTTCTTTTAGTTCACTCATTCCGTACGAGGGAGAAGCACTCGTCGTCAGCGATACCAAATTGTAGCCACAGATAAACGCTGCTAAGCGTGAGAGAGACTGCTTTCCTGAGCCACCAACACCAATCAGAAGCGCATTTCCTCTCGGGTTTGCCAGGATGCGAACGATTCGAGTCACGTGCTCCAACGCTTGATCAAACAACACGAGACTCATGACTGGATGCGTCTCGTTGTACTCAGCCAGCTTCCGCTCCAAGCAAGCAGTGAGTTGAGCCTTGTCGATTACAGGGACGTAGCTGAGAGTGGGGGCCCCATACTCGCCGTCCATCGACATTGATGAAGCTCCCAGGAAATTTACACAGATGAGAGGTGCTGCAAAGATCTCTGCTTGGTCCTCTTCAAAGTTCTTCTTCGTCTGCTCCACAGCCATTTCGGCAAACCTCTGGATCTCACTGGGAGAACTCATACGGTCGCTGAAGACTCGGAAACACTCGTGAATCCAGAGACGACAGAACTGGAGCGAATTATTCAGATACGCTTCAGGTCTAGCCATGAAGAGGCCTTGAAACAACGAGCTCAACTCGCGCATACTAAACACGTAATGGAACTTGGTCGCAGTTGCGAGGAAGTTTGCTCGAACCTCCGTGTACAGATCAATCGTTGCAGTGATGATGGAAGGTGCGAGCTTCTTGATCTTGTCCGCAAAGCTCGTCAGATGCTGGTTCAGTAGCGCAGAGTAGATGGTCGTGAGGTCGTGCTTGGACGGCATGCTGATGCACAGTGTTGAGAAGTGACGGTGAAGACGAGGGTTAACAGTGAACGAGCCAGCCTTATGGTTCATGCAGGCAAGGAATTGGACGTCGTGGATCAGCTTCTTCGACGATAAATCGTGGCGGTCGTACCACGAGTTGTAGTCCATATACTGCCGCAAAAGTGCAAGAGCAGTTTGGGTCCCAAACTCTTCTACAAACGGCATGTTAAGATCGTCCAAGAAGTAGATGAGCTTGCGGTTGTACAGCGGTCCGTACACACGACCCGATCTTTTCTCCAGATACTGTTCCAGGCGAGATTGAAACTCGCGTGCGTCCATGTAGTGATGCATGCTCACATAGGCAAAGGTGGTGTCATCTTCCAGTCCTTTCATGTGCTCGTGAAGTAGTGACGACTTGCCTGATCCACTGCAACCCACTAGAATCGTCGGATTCCTCTTGCGCACCAGCAAGTCAATGATCGAGTGCACACGAGCAGATTCCAGGGTGGGGACAATAAGCGCATGGAATGGGACGTCCCCTACAGGCGTAAGCGACGGGATCTTGTCGCCCCAGTAGATCAGCTCATTACGTGTGATATCATAGTAATAATCGAAGAGATTCGCGTTACCACTCGCCAGCATCGCCGCACTATTGGCATCAGCGCTGCCTGAAGTTGATCCGGCGTTAGTTGAACTGGAGGCAAACTTGTACTTAGCGACGACCTTGAAATGCGTAGAGAACGCAGCACGATCATCCGGTCCCTTGTCGGTGGCTAAAGCGCCTCCAAACGCCCACAATCCACAGTAGATAAACGCATTCTCCAGAACCTCAGGGGTTTTCTCGTGCTCACCAACCGAGCTCAGCAATCCGTCCAAGAGACGACAAAGCATTTCCACGAGGGCAACGGGAACTATTGGCACGATCGTCTCTGCTTTTGTCTCATCCAGCGCGGAGAACATGCCATCCATGTATTTCTTGAAGAGGCCAGGAAGGATTCCTGCCTCGGCACTACTTTCACGCTGCTGCAACCAGGACTCCACAACTGGGTACCATCCAATGTGCCCTTCATCCACGTAAATGATTCCTGCGCGCGATACCGTGGCCGGTGTTGCGTTCACTAGCGACGAGATTTCAAACACCAATCTCATCGACTTTGTCAACGGGATACGCTCGTTCGACACCAGCGTGAGGACCTTGTTGTCGTCCATCACAGTGTTCATGCTTTCGATCCACACTGCGTCGATGTCGCCGTCCAGTACGACCCACTTGTACGTCTGTGATTCGCTAAATGGTGGCACGTTCTTCGACATGTTGCGCATGATAGACGACAGCACGCCGTCTTTCCAGTCGTTGTCAAGGGTCATGTATCCGTACAGTTCGTCGGCCGTAATGGCCTTCGGGTTGACACTCTCACACACAGTCAAGTGCTTTGCCAAGGCATTTCCTTCCTCATCAGCGTTATGGCACGCAGCCAGTGTGTTCCAGATCGTGCTTTTGCCGCATCCAGCAGGTCCAATAAGCATCACACTGTGTCGCACCTTCAGTACTTCTTCATACTCCATCATCTTCTTCAGGAACCCTTCTTCTGGTTGAAGCTTCTTCTGCGCACACACACGAGCACATTTTGACTGCAGAGAGTCGTTCTTGAGATGTGGAAGTTCTTCTTTCGGGAACAGGTCTCGCAATAAACCCATGAAGACCGGATAGTCTGGAGGGAGGATTCTCGGTGTGTTAAAGTCGCGCAGCACTTGCATCAGTACAGTCTCTTCAGACAGTGTGGAGTGTGCACGACGCAGGCTACCAGCGACGAGAAGAACCGACTTGACAGAGCGTAAGCCCCAGTCGTAGTGTTTCTGCTTGGAAAGCAACTCACTGCTCAGATCGTACAACGTCACAAACTTGACGGAAAGCATTCGAGCCTTCAGGAAGCCCTCGGCCATCAGCATGTTCTCGCAAATAGGCTGCAAGTCCGGTTTGATCATCGCACACGAACGGAACAGAGCCTTTAGGTTCTCTGGTAACTCTGCGCGACCAGCATATCCAGGATTCATCGTGATGAAGAATCCAACTGTCGGTTCCAACGCGATCGTTTTACCGAAAAACTCGCAATTACCGGCTCTTGGCATCGCTATGGGTTGCTGAGTGCTTCCTTCTCCTCCTGACGAACCAACATCTCCGCTGCCAGTTGACGCTCCCCGGTTCGTTGACGCAACCAGTAAGGTATTCGCATCTAGTACAGTCTTCACCTGGGTTGCCACCACCGACAGAACCTCCACTGAGATACGATTGAACTCGTCAAAGCAGCCCCAAGCTCCTGTTTGAGCTAATCCACGGAAAATGTTGGCCATCGTCAAGTAATTCATCTGGTCACTGCAATTGAAGACGTAGCACTGAAGGCCCATTCCACGAGCAAGGTCCTTAGTCGTCTCGGTTTTTCCTGTTCCGGCTGGACCCGCAGGCGCTCCGCCAAGACACAGTCGCAGCGCTGTGGTAAGAGTGACGTAGCAACGGTCAGTCAGAGGTGTGATCACCAAGCGTCCACAATTGCCTGTGTACTCGTAGCTGTAGAACGAGCGGAAGTCGCAAATCTTGATGTGAACTTCCTTCTTTAGGCCCGCACTGGTCAATACTGGCGTCGTGTAGTAGCGCAGTTGCGACTGCCATTGGAAATCCAGCGAGCTCGAGACTTTCTTCGTGATCAATGACTGCACCACATCACGCGCATGGACGTCAACAGTAATAAGAGTGATGATCTTCTGGCGGTTTAATGCTCCGAGCTGACCCTGCACAAGCTTGATCAGCTCCTCCAATCGCACTGTTGATACATCATAGTATTTCTTGATGGCATCTTCCGTTCCATTTTCAAACTCCTCCAATGCCATTTCAACCTCCTCCGTCCAGACGATCTGACTTCCCAGCAGAGCAACTTGCGCCGGGTAATCGAAGACCCACGTGTGGCGAGCACAGTCAACTCCCCACAGGGCACTGCTTTCAACTGCCTCGAAAATCTTCTGCCGCAAAGTATCTTGCATCACGAACACCAGGTCATTGAACCAGTTTTCCACTGTTCCATGGATCAAATGCGAGTCCGGGAACTGCACCACTTCGCCTTCCTTCGAGATCATCGCCATCGCCAAGAATCGCTCTTCCAATGAGGCTGATGACGGCGTCGAAGACATCTTTCGGCCCGACAAACTCCCTCCAGACGAGTTCTTAGACTCTAAAGCGGACTGAGCACTGATAAATTCAAACGACTCAATACCATCGAAGCAGTTGCCGAAGTGGGGCTGGATGCGAGGCGGATGGTTACCGTTTGACAGAATCTCGAGCAGCGACGCCGTGGAGACGAAGTAGAACCGCGGGAAGATGTCCTTCTTGCCGTCCAAATACTGATTAAGAGCCTTCTGACAGATCTCAAGCTCCACCTGCAGGTCACGAAGCACAGCTTCACGACCTTCGCGTTGACAGCAAGCAACCAGCACTGATGGAGACATCCGCGCGTCTGCGAAGAGATCCTTCATTGCCTCGTCAACATGCTCAAACCGCTGGTATTCTGACGGCAACTGTCGCTGAATATCGCCCGCTGAGCTTAGAAAAATGGATTCCAAACTGCACCATTGTCGTTGGAGAGTAATCCACAGCTTCAGGATCGTATCAACGTTGCCCAACCGCAACTGCCACTCAAACACTTTGTCTTTAAAGTAAGCAACAAACTTCCCCGTGGCGGCCATCGTTTGTAGCTGTAGTTGATGCTCTTCAAGGCACTCGATGATGACGTTCGGCATCTTCAGAATCATAATGTCACCCTCCATTGTCTCACCCGCTTCCGTCAAGGCATTCGTGCTTGACGTTGCATCGTTACCTTCAACTGAAATAGCAGGCTCACGCGCGTGGTCTCCACTGGACGAAGCCTTGCTTCCTGCCGTTTGATAAGGAACAAACTCGAGCTGGAATCCATTCCACGTTGTGTCAATAGACTGCAATTGCTGCTCGATCTTGAACTCCCTGGCTGCCACTTCCACGAGCTCATTGACTTCGTTGACAAAGCGAAAGAGCTCCAGCTTGAGCACTTCTTCGAATCGCAGTGAGCTTTTACCACCGCTGCTTATCTCACTCAGCCCACCAGCTCCAGATAGATCAAAGTGCTTCTTAGCTAACACCATCAGGTTCTTCCAGTGTCGGTCGCGCACGGCTGGAGAGTGTAAATGCTTGACAAGGGGCAAGATCACTGTCATTTGATGCAGCTTCTGTTCGAGGTAATCGTAGATAGACCATTCCTTCACACCGCGAGCGGATGCAAACAAAGCATGACGATGACGCTCAAGCTCATCGACTTCTTCCATTAGTGCATCAGCATCCAGATCGTTCCAGGGCAATGGTTGCCACTTGTTCACGTAAATCGAGTCCAGCAGCGCGACAAAGTCCCAGATGTGCTTGAGAGTGGTAAAATTGACACGTAGCGTTGACAGCACGTCGAACTTGCTGGACGCCAGCTCGAAAATATCTTCCAGCTCCATTAGTCTCGCAGCTTCCTGTTCGACTTGATACAGCTTTGCGTTGTATGCATCCAGCTGATCATACACATCCGCTATCGATCGACTGTCGGAGGGAGCATACAGCGGAGCTGTGACCTTGAATTCTTCTTTCATAGCAGCAAGACGTCGGTTGAACTCCGCCACTTCTTGTCGAATCGATTCCATCATCTGGTTCTGCAGTGGTTGGATCACTTCCTTCTTCTTGAACGTCTTGTTCACCATGTTTTCCCACCGGATCGGGGCTTGCTCTAAGAACGTCAACACATTTTCTTTGCCAACGTACGACATATCCAGTGCAATGCCATTTAGCTTCAGAAGCGCGACAAAATCCTTCAGCGGCACGAAGTTCACGAGCAAGTCTTCGCGCATCAGATGTCGAACGTCACGAATGTGCAACATGCACTGCATCAGCTTCTCCTTGTCGGCGTTCGCGGCGTCGATCTCGATGTCCAGACCAGCGTTTACCTTCTGCATGAAGGTCTCTATCCACACAAGCTGGTTGACAACTCGATCGTGCAAATACTGCGTGAATAAGTACACCCATTTCGTCACCCACGTCGACAACGCCTGCTTGATCGGGAGGGAATTCACACGCACGAAACCCACGTCTTTCACGTGTTTCGACTCGGAGATTTCGTTCTGAAGGCCAAGGAAGAAACTGATTTTCTCTTGAAAGCGCTCGAGATTGAGGAGCTGGGCAGGCAACGGAGGAGGTATAGCCATCGCAGAGCCAGCAGAAATTATCGATTTCGGAGCACTTTTCTCAGTCACAGCAACAGATTTCGATGGTGGAGGTGCAGCTGAGGGCAAGTTGTCTGCGTACACAATTTTGCCACGAGAGCCCTGGTCATCTGTGTACGGATAGGGAGACCACGCTGTACAGAGGAAAGTCTGGAACATTTGCGGCAAGTCGGTCGTCCATAGATACTCGTACTTGGTGAGCGCATAACGGAATGCAGCGCAAGCCTTCTGGTTCTGGTCAAGGAATGACGATATATCTGCAATAAGCAGCTGGATCTGCATGTTCTCTCGCATCTCTTTCAAATAGGATCCCTCGGAGCTGTCCAACCGCTTGAATACTGTCGAGGAATGAAGAATCGCTTCCATTCGACGCATGATAAGATCTTCCACGCCGCTTTTCGCCGCTGTGCTTTGGATGGTTGGAAAATACACGATATCTTTGCCGTACAAATCCAACTCAACTTCGAGTAAGGCTGGAATGTCCTCACTCTCGATACGCTTGGGGTCTAGCTGCTCTCTCAACTGCCCAAGCGATTGAAGAATCACTCGAGCGAGCCCGTCCTCAACGATCCCGCTGACGTAGTCGACATACGCTCTCCAGTCGGGGCTTCCTTGAGCCACACGCAAGTGCTTCAGCGTATCCTTAAGCAGACGATGGATCTCATTGCCACCTTCCTTGATCACATGGTACTTTTGTTGACACAAAGCCTTCTGAAGCTCCTCGAATTCTTCGACTGACAATGCTTTGCTCTTCCGCTCAAACAGCAGCGGCGGCGAATTCCATATATCCAACAACTCAGCGACACGGTTTTGGTGCGTCTTCAGCTGACTCAACAGGGTGTTGGCCTCATTTACCACCGTCATGGACTCTTTCAGGAACACATCGATACCGTGAGACTTCCAGTTTAAGGCTTTAATGCCTTTATTTAACACTTGATCCATTCGCTCCAGATAGCCCTTGACAAGAGGTTTTTCAACTGGTAACAGTGTCAAGTGGATAGTGTTATACATATCGACGATTAGCTCCAAGTTTCCAGTCTGGCGTCGGAATACTTCAGCACGTTTGTAGATCTCCAACGCATCCTCTGGGATATCCAACCCAAGCAACAGGAAGTATTTAACTTCGCGCAGCAACTGCACTAAAGCAGCATCGAAGTTTACGAACAGTAACCCTGCATTGGATTGGGATGCCCCTGGTTGTTGCTGTTCTTTAACGACCGAGCTCGTAGATGTATCAATACTGGTAGATCCTGGAGCAGGTTCGCGTCTGATAAGTGGAAGCTTGAGTTTGGCCTTTGAAGAAGTCTCGATTGAAATCCCCCACTGCTTAACGTTCTGAACCTCGTACTCCTGCAGCATTGCCATCACATTCGTGTACAACTTCATGGCTTCTTTTGAATCCTCACGCTCAAGCACAATCCTTGGGGAAATCTGCTTCAGCTTCTCCATAGGGAATTTAATACGCTCACCAAGTCCCCGACACCACGTAACAGCACCAGCAAATGGCGGGAGGTTGGGAGATATCGGCGGATGGTCTCGATTCTCGATGAATATCTGCTGCACCACATGCAGGTCGCTCGCATACGACGCGATAAGCGACGTATGCTTCCGTTCTAGCTCGTTCTTGATAATCTGTCGGTCGAGCAGATCTTCGAAGCAGTCCAAGCATTTAAAGCGTCCCACAATAGTCTTGGCATCGTCGAAAGCCTGGTTGATCACAGAAGCTAGACGTCGCTCCAACTCCTTGTTCTTCGAGCGAAAGGCGTAAAAATCGTCTTCAAAGTGCTTGGCATCGAGATCCATTAGGTCGTACTGGACGTTCTTCATCTGTGCCAACGTTTCTTGAAAATCCGCGTAGATTTGGTGCACACTAGTCGTGAGTGTTTTACCCTTCGTGCCTCCGATCTCCATCTGGGCAAGTTTCTGGAACTGGTAAATAGTCTGCGTCAACTCCAAAACATCGTGACATCGCTCGAGAAAAGCATCAAGACGAATAAACAAGGCGTTGTTCTGAATTCGCCACGGATTGCCTGGCACCTCGGTAACAGATTTCGCCTTGTAGTCAAAGTAGACGCTTTTGAAGTGAGCGCACACCTGCAAAGACACTTGCAGCATGCTGTTTGCCTGCTCCAGCTCGCCTTGATCGAACAGCTCGAATAGTTTCTCGCCGTTCAAGTGCATCATCGCCTTCCTGATAATTTCGTTGCAGATCTGTCGAATCAACACAACCAGTCGCGCCGGAGTGTTGTAGAACCGACTCGACTTCCAGATCAGTAGAATGGAGTGGCAGATTGGCCGAAAGAGATCTCGGATTTCTGGCAGGCTTTGTGCACTCGCCAACTGCTCGAACCACTTAGCCAATGGCCACAGATAGTGCTTGTTATCATTGGCTTCGGCTCTGGCAAGGAAAACCTCCTTGCACAGCTTTGCAAACGGGATATTGTAAGTGCTCTTGGACGCGTCCAGATACTGCAACACTTTGCGAATACTGTCGGACTGCAACTGGGCGAAAATCGAGTTGAGGTTCTTTGCCTTTGCTGCCCAAAAGTGCAGCTCTTCCATGGGGCCTTGGTGGGCATGGTCCCGCTGGTTCAACAGCGCTTCGGGGTCTTGTTTGAGGATGTTCTTGATCTGCTTGGTCCAGGTAATCAGACTCCCCTCCAAGCTATGCACTTGGTCCTTCCCAAGTCCACTGATAGTGTTGAAATCTTGACCCTTGGAGAACGAGCTTGACGCGTCTCCATTGGGCGACGACTTGGCCGCACTCTCCATGACTGCCTGATCCCACGGAAGTGGGAGACACGTAGCGCCTTTTGTCTGTCCCAGAGTGATCTGTAGGCTAGAGAAGAAGCCATGGACATTGTTAATGATGGACGTTGTGACCATCTCGGGCCACATCTGCTGGTTGCGCTGGTTCCCAATAAGCGGGATGAACACGTCGCGCAGCATCACAGCCAGCGACTCGAGAGCGTTTTTCTCCAAGGTACCGGACATGATTTCTTCATGGAACTTGGTCGCGCTTATGGGTCCTTTGACAGTCTTGAGCAGGTACAAGACCGTGACTGGAGATCGGTTCTTGCTCTTGGAGGCGTCTCCAAAGAGATGCGCTGGAGGTGTTGAATAAGTGTCCACGATGCCACTAGATTCGTCTCCATGGTCTGTGAACAGCAACAGTCGCGCGTCGGGAACGTGCAGGAAGTCGAAGAGTCTCGAGGCCACGGCGTCTGTCGCGAACTTGCGGTTCAGTGAATCGATCTTAACACCAGGAAACGTGCGCACCACGTGACGACGGATGAACTCGAGCCTCGCGTCGTCCGGAGGCGCGCTGGGCTCCCGCTCGGACGTCAGCGTCGTGGTCGAGTTGGCCCACACCCTGTCCGTCTCCATGACGCAGCTTAAATAAGAGCAAAAGATCGCAGCGCCGCTTTGGCTCGCCGCTTATCAATAAAGACAGACCCAATGGACACCTCGAAACGCATGAACGTCCATGGATAGACGGCTAGGGGTCATCTACCGTCTCGGAGGACACCCATACGCACCATCTCGGAATGCAGAATGCATCTTCTGGTTTTATACACTGACTGTGCTAAATTTGAAAAACTCGATTTAACACACTGATAAAAATGTTTAACCCATCCCAAAAAGTGGGTTTTGAAAAATATGTGTTCATCCAGTTGTGGGTGAATTGACAGAATTTATTGGTCGTAAGCTAGTTTTTGTAAAACGACCAATAAATTCTGTCAAGAGTCAGGGTTGGGTTTTAGGAATGCCCTAAAACCCAAGGAATTTTTCAGCAAGGGACAATTTAAACCATTGTGGGTGGTGTTAAAAAGCCTGCTCGCATTCTACTGGCCCGCAGCGTTTGGCTCCCTCACTTCATTCAGTACCAAGATCACGATGGCCAAGGCGGTGTGCACTCTTTACGGCGACGACGCGACCGTGTATGGCTCGCTGGTGATCACGCAGGCTCACGAGGACGCCAAGAGCGTCATCACGGGCGAGCTCAAGAATCTTTCGCCCGGCAAGCACGCCCTGCACGTGAACGTTTTCGGCGACGTCTCGCAGCCGGCTGGCGCTGCGCTTGGCGGCGTGTTTAACCCTTTCGGCAAGAACCACGGTGCCCCTGAGGACGCTGAGCGTCGCGTTGGATCGCTGGGCAACGTGGAAGTGGGTGAGGACGGCAGCGTCAAGGTGCACGTGGAGGACAAGCTGGTGAAGCTTATCGGCCCCCACTCGATCATCGGCCGCAGCATTGTGGTGCACGACGGCGAGGACGACTTGGGCAAGGGCGGCCACGAGCTGTCGCTGCAGAACGGCAACGCTGGCGCCATCAAGGCGTACGGCGTCGTGGGCATTTCCAGCTAAACGAAGCAAGAAGAGCAGGGCGTCGTGGGGTTATTAAATAGGTAACACGGCAGAATGCAGACACCTTTTTCGCTTCTATATGACGTTGTTGCTGTGGGCATGGGAGAAAGGGAGAATGCAGAAGCTATTGTCTTTCTTCTCGTCTTCATTCGTTCGAGTCTAGTGCTTCCTGTCTTGTTCGTACGCTACTGACCATCTACGCAAGAGCTAGAGATTTGACCGCCGGACTCAAGCCGTGATGCTACTGCGCTTGCTCTCGTAGATCTTCTTGGATGTCTTTTCAGAAACAGGGGACGGCGGCGCACCATCGGACGCAGTGGACTGGTTGTCTCCCTTGCGGCTCTTGCTCTTCTTCTTCTTACGCTGTAGAGCCTCCACAACAAGCTCCAGTTTGCGCAAGTCATGCGCCTTCTGGTTGGCCTCCAGCTTCGTTCGCGCCAGCTCCTCCTCCATGTCCTGGAAGCGCTGGCCACGTTCACTCTCCTGGTAGTTGTGTACGTCCGTCAGTCGCTGCTCAAGTCGCTGCTTCTCGCTTGTGAGCTCCTTCATCTGTTTGCGAAGCCGATCTGTCTCCGTCGACGCTTTGAGTAGCTCTCCCTTGTTCTCCTCCTTGAGTCGCGCCACCTCGTCCAACGGCACAAAGTCTTTGAGATCCATCACGACCGGAGGCGGGGCTTGTCTCGCCTCTTCCTCCGCCTTGGCGCGTGCTTCCGCTTCAGCTTGACGACGCGCATCGACCAGCACCTGCTCCATCCTCGGCACTTCACCCAGCAGTAGCGCCTGGAACCGCTCGGCATACGACAACTTAGTCGCGGCCGACAGGTCATCTGTGACTGATTCGTTGTTGTTGTTATTGTCTGCCTCGAGAGCCAAGATGCCCGGTTTGTTGTCGTGGGCTGCTGGTTGTTGCTCCGCTAACATCAAGATGCTGACCACCGCGTCGATAACGCGCTTGCCCATGGCGTCGTCCACGTGCTGCACGAATGGATGGCCGAGCCTCATGTACTGGTTGAACAGGATGCGCACCAGAGCGACAAGACCCGAGCGAGAGGCCAAGCTCTCCGTCATGTCTGCCAGGTAGCGCGTCACCCTCGACGCGTGCTTGACACTCAAATACGACTGCACGAGTTGCTGGCCAGCGTAGGCCGCGAAAGTCTGCAGTAGATGCAGCTCCAAGTCCGACTGATCGGCACTGGTCACCATCAAGTCCTGCGGCTCGGCTGTCATCGCCACTAGCGCCGTGGAGCCGCCGCGAGACGACGGAGGCGGCGGCACTTCATCGGTCGGCAGCGTCATCATGTTCGCTCTTATTTTTCTCGACTATGAAATCCCTGCGTCCGGGACACGACGGAGAGACACGAAGCAGATACGGGGCCTGGCCAATAGAGGAATGGTCGATAACTTATCCTTATCGGATCCCAAATGGACGTGTGCGTCTCTTCCGGTGGATTAGGGCGAGTCGAGGTGAAAGGGTGCGTCGATGCTGTCACGGGACGTTGGGATCAGATTCGGTGGCTGCATTGTCCGTTTAGTTAGTCTCGTCTCATGTCCAAGTTGAAGTGTGCTGATCTTTAGGCTTTGGCTCCAAGCTGTAGCAATGCGACTTGGCGTTGTTAGCACGAGAATGATCGATAGCAGCACGATGTGATCGAGAGCTCGAAGGTGAAACGTATTGCCAAGTCCAGTCGGGAAGCAAAAATACATCGCTGCAAATAGCGGGCACGATCTCACTCCGTGTGTCAACAACGCCTTGATCGCTGCCAGATATTCTAGCCCACCTCCATAGAAAGCATGCATCATCGCACGCTGCCGAGGTCCCATTCTTCATCGAAAAGGGTGGCGCTGATAACAGTCGCTACGACGAGAAACGAACACCTCCTTTCCGCCGTCCCCGCCGACTTCATTCCCTAACGACCCAAGCTCCGCACAAACCCAACAATCACAACACAAGATGTTCAAGTCGTTTCTGCTCGCAATCATCTTGACGGCAGCTACGACCATCCCGATCAATGCTGTCACCTGCCCGGATGGCGAGAACCAGATGAGTGTTGAGGGTGTCGAAGGTATCTTCTGCGTGGCCGGTGATCCGTGCATCGCCACCTTCAGCACTGGCGCCTGCCCTGCAGCTCAAGAAGGTCTCCCCTATGGATCTTACTGCGGCGTTGTCGCGTCCGGCGTCTACGGCTGCAAAACCTACACCAGCGCCGCGACGGAGATTCCCACACCCGATGTCACTACCGAAGCTCCCACTCCTGAGCCCACGACTGAGGAGCCTACGACGGAAGAGCCTACGACGGAAGAGCCTACGACTGAGGAGCCCACGACCGAGGAGCCCTTAACTGATGAACCCACGACTGAGCCAACGAAGACTGCTCCTGTTCCGATCACCCCGTACAGCAACTGCACAACGGAGGGTACTGAAGTGAGCGTGCAGGGTCTGGAGGGTGCCTACTGCGTTAATGAGCCGGTCTGCGTGGAGCAGGTTTCCACGGGAAACTGTCCCGCTCCTCAGGACCGACTGCAGTTCGGTTCGTTCTGTGACCTGCTCCCGACGGGTGCCTACGGCTGCAGGCCGTACACGGCAGACAACGTGCCGACCACCGTGACGTACGAGGCCCCATTGGACTGCTCTAACAACCCTGCTGGCGACACCCCTGTCAGTATCGTGAGTTCCAACGAGGACTTCTGTGCTCCTAAGCCGGTATGCTCAGGAACCATCTTTGGCAACTGCCCCAAGATGCAGGACGGACTGGCGCAGGACTCTGAGTGTATGGTCGTTGATACGGGCGTGTACGGCTGCGTGTTCATGGCCAGCACCTAAGTGACAAGGTAGGTCGAACGAAGGAAAACTTTAAATGAATGAAATGCAACGCTCGTATGCTTCGGTTTATCGTGTGAAACCTATCGCTACCGCATCCTTCCAAGCACGATTTTCTTCACGCTCAAAAGATCGAACTCTCACATCTTGACGGCCCACGTGGACTTGCACACTGGGCACTTGCAGGTTGTGCAAGGGCACTTTCCGCCGGACGGACAGTCACACGCAGTACAGCTTCCTCCATCGTCTTTTTTATCATGACACTTGGAGCACTTGCACTTGCCAGCAGGGCACTCACATCCCGGACATTCTCCAGCTGTAGCACGCTGGGCAGCGGCAATGCACGAGCCACCACACACAACGGTCGCCGACGTGGCCGACTTGATCGGAGGCTCGATTTCCTTCGCAGCGCCAGTCTTGCTAGCGCAAACTTGACACTGGCAGTTCTCGCACGAACATTTGTCCGCCAGCGATCCGCAACTCTTGCACGACCCGTGGCTTTGGTGCTTCCCCGCCTTATCTTTTACACTCTCCGCAGCATGTCCGCTCGTCTGGGCCTCAGACTTGTCATCTTGGTGGTCTGCAGCCGGCAGGTGCGTGTCTGGTCGGCCACGCACTGGAGCACCCAGCCCAGGCGGATCTTCCTTCAGGTTGTGCTTGACATTGGTCATTGTTCCGATCGCCATCTTTTTGAAAAGTGAGCTCTCGCCACTTGGCAGACTTGTGGTCTTGGGTGGCGATCGTATTCTTCGTCCCGGTTCGCAGACGTCGCTCCCATATGCGACGATGGCGAGCTCTTTCGTCTTTGGGCGATTTAACAGTGTAAGTTACAACGAGGATCAAAGCAAACACCTTTCAAAGAACTCCTTTGATTTTTTCACTGTTGGCAGCCAAACTGCAACTCCCTTCACATGCAAAACTAAATTCTGCTTGGTGACATGATTCTCGGTTGCTTTGCTACTTTTGCTGCGTCTTCCAACGCTAGTCCACTCCTACTACTTCTGTGTCCCATGTTCCTCTTGGACGCGTCGATATCCACTCATAGATGTTCTTGTTTCTCCTTTTCAGCGTCTCGCCACCTACAAACCACTGACGGATCTTCAGCCATAATAGGCGTAATTTAGTGCAGCAAGCCGCACTTGCACTGGCCGCTGGGGCTACCACACTCAATGCACTGACCATGCTGCACACCGCCACTACTAGCGCTGGTCGCATGCTTACTCGGGTGCTCGCTGGACGCACTCGTCTCTGTCGACGGCATCTTCTTGCTAGCCTGCTCCTTGGCAGCGCACACAACACAGTTGCATCCTTGGCACGAACACTTGTCCGGAGGACAACCACAGCCACGACAGGCCTCGCGCTTGCAGCTGCACGAACTGCACTTACAATCTTCACACGAGCAGTTTTCCGCCGATGACGTGCAACTCGCACAGTCTCCACGGTGATTGCAGCACACTCGACACTTGCAGTCCTTGCACGTGCACTCTTTTGCCGACGAGCCGCAGGTCGAACACACGTCGTGCTTGGCATATTCTTGCTTCGCAGGTTTCTCGGACTTGTGTTTGCCACCGCCACGACTCATAAAGTGTCCCAGCTTCTTCGCTGACAAGCAGCGCTTCAAATGCGCCATCTCCAAAGCCGATTGGGCCCAGGCCACGCCGTGGTTGCACTTCTGGTCTTCGCCAGCCCCGCACGAGCGCTTCTCCGCACACGTGTAGGCTTGTGACTCGCTATCGCAGCATAGAACGCCGTAAATGACTGGCGTATCGAACGTCACGTTCAGCTTCATGATCCCGTTGGCCACAGCGTGACTCATGGTCTCGCACGTGTGCGTAGCGTCGTTCACTAGGCAACCGATGCAGATCACAGCGTCCGGACGGTGGCTTGCATCCTTGCAGTGGACCAGCCGAGCAGCAGCAAATGGCAGTTCAAAAGCCCCGGCCACCTCCACGACGTGCAGATCTTCCTCGGCCACACCCTTGGCCAGCAACTCGTCCGAACACGCGTCCACCAGCGACTGGATCACCTTCTCGTACCATCGGGCCGCTACGATCGTGACTCGTAGGCCACTGCCATCAAGTTTGCTCGATTCAGCGGTACCGGGCTGCTCAATGAGCACAGGACTGTGCGTCGCTTCCGACTTGCCTTCTTCATGACCGTGTGAAGCACCTACCGGGTGCTCCTCCTTAGTTGAAATCTTCATCTTCGACGTCGTCGTCTCAACTCCAGGGGCCATTGTTATCGTTGTCACCAGTGAGCTGCAAATTCAAGACTGACCACAAGTAGTGATCCCTTCCTCTCCAGCTTCAACATGCTATAGTGCGACGCGGACTTCAAGTAAATAGTTAGTTAGTATATTAAATTAAACCAACTCAATAGTTAGTATTAAAGCATTTCTCAAGTTACCGTTGTCGTTGAGTGACACGGTAGGCTCATTGCCGAAACTTGAGGCTTTGGAGTAAAAGTACTTTGTATAGAAAAAAAGTGCGCATTGGTTTCGGCCCATTTTTGATCTTTTTTTATTATGAGCAGTCAAGGCAAGAACTTTTTTTCAGGAAAAGTGCTTTAGCGGAGTCAAGTCGATGACTCCAAGCTCTGTTCACAATACCTGGACGTGGGGTAGGGGTGGTAAAGATAACATAAAATAGCAGTACCGTAAAAAATCTTGTCAAAAGGCACCCGTTGTAGCGACAGTCCAAAATGTCGACCGATCAAAACTCAAAATTACGGTGATGTATCAAGACTTGTCAAAAGGCAACCCCCCAAAAAAAAAAAAAAAACAAAAAACAAAAAAAAAACAAAAAAAAATTACATCATACCGCGAGGAGGCCGTTCGCGTGCTAAGGGATTTAAGGCTACTACAGCGCAGCATAAACGTGACTCAGTCTCCTTCGAGCGCAAACACCACATAAATGGCTACATCGAGGCTAGTGGAGTAGCAGAAGCCGTTACGCGGTTCTACCCTTCTTAAAGTACCCGATCGCAAGAGAAAGAAGCACCAGATACACAAGCGGTACGAGGAGCGTGTTGACATTGCCGAGCAAGTTGCTCTTAGGAACGGACGCCTCTGTAAAATGCCGCGGGTAGGAATTGGCCGCGTGCTTTCTCGAGAGGCAGAGGACAACATCGCGTTTTGGATTCGCGACCTGCGTCGAGAAGTCGTCCCCGTCTCACCACTAATGGCGCAGATAAAGGCTTGTGCGGTGGCATCAGAGCTTGAGATGCGACGCGACCAGTTTTCTGCATTAACGTCGCGGCGGCGTCGGATCCTTAGGTCGTATCGCCTATCGCTTCGCCGACGGACACGAATCAGGCAGCGCACACCCAGCGACGCTCGATTGATAGCAGAGCGTTTTAGACATGGGGTACAAGACAAGATAGTTGGGCTTGGCATCACGGGAGTCTACAATGCTGATCAGACAGCGCTCAATTTTGAACATGTACTACTCATACAATGGATAGTATTGGCACTCGGACGGTGTGGGATTGCAACAGCGGCAAGGAGAAGACGCGAGTTACGTCGACGCTTCTGGCAGATCCCAGAGGTGAATTCCGTGTTCATTTCTCGTTTTCAAGCCGCCACCGTCACTGGTTGGGGTCACTAAGTTATACAACGGCACCTACCAAAATGGTTCCGGCCGCGACCTGTAGAAGAAAGCGAGGAACATGCAAGCGGCAACTCGAATGCCGATTCATTGCAACCGCCGAGGCTGGTGGAATGCTGATTTGTCAATCGAGTTTCTGATTTTCACTCTGCTAAACTAGCCAACCCAGATATTCCGGTGCTTCTCATCTGGGACGTGTTTAGTGGTCACTGGACCTCTGAGGTGCAGGAATGCGCCAAGGAACTGAATGTGGTTTTGCTCAAGGTTTTCGGTCGTTACAGTACAATGACAAACTACATGATGTTTTAGTACTGTTGGATAGGAGTAAGTTTACGTGTGATATATCAAAAAAAAAGATGCTGAGAGTGATAGCAGATAAAGCATAGTAGCTGCTTTCACCAACTGAACTAGCAGTGGGACCGAATTTATTTGATATATAACGAAATTAAAAAATAGGGATCTTGGTTTGGTAATTTATTGTAGTTTGTTTTTCCCGTGCAACACTCGTCCTGGTGCTACATTGTGTGCCTTTTGATAAGACTTTCACGTTACGATTATAGAGCTTATAAAAATACATCAACCAACAACGAGCTCATCTTTGGGAACCCATGCTACACCAGTCAGGTAGCACTGCCAACGGAGACGGAAATAGCATCTGCGTAGCTAAGACCGAAGCGTTTATAGTGCATCATTCACGTCCGATGCCGAACAGGAATGCCAGCGTCAATCATCAACTTCACGTATCTGAAGGCACTCGGGCACGATCTTGTCCACTGTCTGTCAATGATGACTCGCACGGGCTTGTGTAGTCGATGCGGGCAGATCATGGAATGGCATATCGCGCTCTCGCTCAATGCGTAGAATACTAAATCTGCCCCAAGAACAGCATCGTCCTGAAGTTTCTCGAGTAATTTGCTTCTCGCGTTTCTGACTGGAGCGTCACAGCGCACTTCTGGAGCTTTAGCCACTTCACATAGTGGGTGCTTGAGGGCGAGGGCCGGGATGGAGTCTGGCTTGCTGTGTATAACGTTGCGGACGGATTTTGAGAGTACATTTGTACTTCGCGGCGAACGGCCGCAATATCGCCCAGTATCTTGCAAGCTCACCTCTGCGGGGACCGGCTCTGATGCCGTCAACGACGCTTCTACGACAACCGCTCTCAGACCTCCGTGTCAGATGATCGACTCGATCTTCGTGCCCGTAATGCCAAGATATAGTGACGCTCCAGACAGAAAGGCGAAGAGCGAATTACTCGAGCGACTTCAGGACGATGCTGTTCAGGGAACAGACCTGTCCTTCTACGCATTGAACGAGGGTGCGTTCTGTCATTCCCTCATCTGTCTGCATCGTCTGCACAAGCTTGTCCGAGTCATCATTGACAAGAAGTGGGCAAGGTCGCGTGGTGTAGCAGAACACACAAATACCGTCAGAAGTGGATCCTCACACAAACCATAACAATTTGCCTAGTCTAAAGCCTAGATTTGCTAGGTGAGCTGCCTAAGCCGGGTAGGTTGGGCGCTTGTATGACCTGCGATGGGGTTGGCTCCATCGCAGTTCAGACCGGCCGGGATAGGCAGTGCGCGCTCGCATTCACCATCGCCAGGTCACGGCCAACCAAGTCAGTCTTCTTCGAGCGTTCTCCAGGTAATCCTTGCCAGTCTCGGTCCTTGAAAACCTGCGCCCTTAACAGAAGGATGTACGACGGCGCACGAGCGCGATTACTGACCACGGAGCGCAAAGGCGTCTCAGCTGGAAGTGTCACGGCACCTGGGCTATCCGTCGTACCGGCTCACCTACCTGGCGAGTCTTGTCCTTACACGACTGAGTATTAGGTGCTCGCAGAGCGAGTCTTTACTTCTTCGCGCGGAGCGAGACTGGTGCCTTACCCAGGCCTTCCTATCTCTTGGCGCAGCCAATCAGTACCCTATAAGCTATTCCTCTTGGATAGCAACGGCAGACATAATCTGGCCCTGTGCAGGGACATTCCGGAAAAGTGTACACGTGTCTTGAACTCGGAAAATTCTGCTCTGTTTGTATGTTATCTGCTAGGAGCCTCATCGGGGTTCTTCTATTCCTTTTCTATGTTTCATTTACAAATAGCAAGTGAAATAGAGAGTGTCGGATCTTATTCGACCGTTCACCACCTCCAACGGCTAGGCGACTGTTCGGACCTAGCTGACGTCCGCCAAGTGGCTATCGTGCTCCTTACCTCCATGCCCATCGCAAATCATATGAGTGCCGTGATCCTCGACTCCTTGTCCATCGTCAGCCAGGTCAGTACCGTTGATCTTAGATCATTAGCGTCGTCAGCCAGGCCAGTACCGTAGACCTTAAATCCTAAGTTGTATGTGTACACGTCTTCCTAGCTCAACCTAGTTCAGGCTAGTCCTAGTTTAGGGGACGCCGAACTTGAATTTCTCTACACCACAGTCGTGCGGCTGCCATCAGGTATGTGAAGCTGATGATTGGCGCTGGCAATCCTGTTCGGCGTCGGACGCGCACGATGCATTACAAGCTCTTCAAGCTTGGCAGTGTCTCTGCGGCGTTGCCATGTGTCTACGGCGGGAGAAAAAAGCGAAAGAGAAGCGCTGTCAATAAAACAAAGTGCTTCATCAGACTGTCGTTGTCGTTGTACCTCTTTTTTCGTTCGAACCCCCAACAAATTAAAAAAAATATTATAGCCGGAAAAAACCATCATTTTGATGATGTTTTTTCGGGCTGTAATCTTTGTGCCTCATAAATAGCCACAGTTTGGCCAATTTCGGTTCGCCGAAATTGGCGTTTAATTGTTACTATTTTTCTGTCGAATAGTAAAAATCGTTTCGATAGAAAAAATCTCTCAACAAATTGCGATATAATTATAACAGCATGGACATAAAAAACCTTAAAACCCATTTGGCGTAGATTAAAAAAACAGCGACTTGCTAATTAGGAGTTGCAAGAAGGTTTTACGAGTTAATATCAGCATTTTTTATGTGTAGCAGATATACTGACGAAACCTCATTTGACTTACATACTCACTGCTAAACCCTCGTCACGGGAGCAAATTTGCTCAATTTGCTGCCATTCCCCGTGCTTCTAGCAAAGCGGATGGTTCATCCCTTTCTTGATTACAAGTGCGTTGCCCTAAGAAAAGATTATTTTCATGTGTGATTCGGATGAATTGCACTTGCCATATTTGGCAGGAAGTTTTGCATCGTGAGAGATGAAAATTGCGTGCGTGTCATCGGTCAGATGTTTGGCAACACCTTCTGTTAGACGCAGTATGGTTTTAATCTGATCATGTATTAATAGTAGCGTTTGCCCGCGTACTTTTATAATATAGAATACAACTTATTGAGAATAAGCTACCAAACGAAAGCTTAGAGCCGCGGAGATTTTTCTTCATTGCCAGGAAGACTATTTCCTACTGCGACCCGGCAACAACGACACCAGTTGCGTCAGCGGCCTCCAGCGCCTTGGCTAGCTCTTGAACCTTGAGTTGCTTGGTGGTCCCTTTATCGAACTCCACCTTCCAATGGTAGGTCCCTCCACGGTTCCTCCAACGACACACTTTGCCTTTGACGTTCGCGAATGCGGTAATGCTGTTTACAGTTTCCTTGAACTCGATGGTACAAGCCAATTTAGAGCCATTGCTGGCTTTTTTTTGTAGCTCTCGCATCAGTCGAGCAGCAGAGAAAAAACTCTCTCCGTCCTTGTTAAGGCTCGTGGAAGTTTCCGTGGTCTTCCGGGTGGTCGGCGAGCAGGAAGGCGCTTAAGCATTCCACTTAGATCGAAGATGTCTGAAAGCGCGAGAGTAGCTAGTACATGGCTACATATCCATCCTGAAGCATAGAGCCTTGCAATCGCATCGATACTTGCTTCGTATCATCCAAATCTACCAAACGTAAAAATAGTTAATACAATATTTGTAAAATAATAGACATAATAATCAGAAATATTACATACCTCATCAAGAGACCTATTGGTGGAATCGCAGTCGTGTACAAATGATGCTGATGATAAAATGGAAACTTTGTGCAGCGATAAATAGTCGATTGAGATATGACGAACTCTGCATTTTGCTTGAGCTGCTCCTGCAGCGACTTCAAGAAGATCTGCACGCGGCGTTGACTGACCGGTACTCCGTTGATGCTGTTGTTGCCGACGATGTACGCCTTTGCGTTGAAAATCAACGAATCCTTCTTGCGGCGGCCGGTCCGCGATTTGTATGTGATCCGATGATTTTCTTTTTGACACATCAATTGTGCTGCCACCACCGTTTCAGGTGGAGCCGGACCAGTGCAGAAAACTGTGATAGGACGTCCAACGACTCTGTACATAGACGCGTTCCTTAAGATTCTTGGCAAAGATTGGTTGAGCACATAAGCGGTGGATGTCCGTAAAGCCAGAGCATTCGAATACTTGATCTTTTTGTGGTAGGCCTCAATCGGATTTTGATTGGGCGCAATTCCTGGAGATCCACTGCGTGTTGTAAACCAAGTCACCCATCGCTCAGCTAGATATTCCACTTTCAACCATTCACAATACGCAGCCTCATCGTCCTGAACCAGCTACTCTGTGACAACTGTGGCTAGCGCTGTGAATAGTTTTGCTGTACGAGCTTGTGGAGCCAATTAAGAGACGGAAGCAGTACATTTTTCCACGTTTCGGAGTTATTTAGTAGGCGGCGCCCATTTTCGTTCGCTTTGCGAACAAAGTGTTGCCAGCAGTTCATCAATTTTGTATCGGGCCATTCTGCAAAAACACATTTGCGATCGCATCGGAGTGATCCGAAGCGCCAAATGCGATGTTCAAATCAATGTTGAAAAATTCTTTCACCGTAGTCCGGATAGTTGTGAAAAGTGCTATGTAGGTCTCCGAGAGCACAAACATATACCCCAAGGTACAAAAGTGTGCCGAAATTGACGGTGATTCAGATGCACTGCGTATGTACCAAAATTCACCACAGTCCACCCCCCTCGATGCAGCTTATACGTGCCATCAGCTGCCGCCACAACGTCGTGATCATCTTGGCCAATCACAGATTAGACAACGTTTCGCAGTAGAGTGCGAGTAGTCATGACGATTCCCATTGCCTCGTCGTTGTCTCCATACGAGAAACATCGTAGAACGATGAGTTCGTAGCGAAAATCAGCTCCTCTGGATCGGAAATCTGTTAAATCGTCGGACTCGACACAGGGATTGGTGTGTCCAAAAAAAAGATCACGCAAGGTACATTCACGAGGCCCGGCGCACGCTACTAGATCGGCGTAACGGGTCATGGCTTCAGCTGCAAAAAAAATTATAATCTAACATTATTTTGAGTCACACAAATTGTGACAAAACAAAAACGGTACCTCTATCTTGTCGAGTGAGGAATTGCTTTCTGGACTTCAACATTCCTCTTGATGGAAGCCTGTCTAGCATTTCTGGTCTATCTGCATATCGATTACGCAGAATGACGAGACAACCTTCTGGTCCGGCGCCTCCTTCCAGAAGATTGTCAACTTCGGGCTGAAGCACATCGTCGATACCCGTGCGAGTTTCTGTAGCAACTTCAGTGGAGTGGACGCTTGTCGATTGTAATATATACTGCCCATTTGCATGAGATATTTTCGCTAGGCACGGGCAGTTCGCATGGGATGTGCATGAATAAACACTTATGCGCTGTGAAGATGTCGTATAGTTGTGTCGATATCTGAACAATCCTCCACCTCGATCGTCCATTTGCGACTTTTCTTGGCGCCTTGTCGAGTAAGTGACTATCTGCACGAAGTCGTCGACTCGTATAGGGGTAGTTGCATCATCATTATCGGATGAAGATGATGCCAAGCTGCAGATCTCAGTTTCGTCATTGGGAGACCAGTCTGTCGTTGCATGGCACGGACCTTGCATAATGTTATACAGTCTTGGAAGTAAAGTAGGGCTGAATTGAGGTTGTTATGAGGCGGTTTCAAAGAGAAAATGAGTGAATGGACGTTCGAGATCTTTAGCTATGCATGTAAAACCAAAAACCGGTGGTTTAAAAAACGAAGGGTTTCAAGTCCAACAGATAAAAAAACTGAAGCCTCGGGGAAATCTTAAATAGTTAATTACAAAGTCAAAATGGTTTTTTATACTAAGTAGTTTATACTTGAGCTACAAATTCTAAATTAGAGTAAAACATGTTTTATAAGGCCTCATCAAAAGTTTATAACATATATAGGCCAAATTCCGTCTATAGCTTTATCCACATGACCTATGAATATGTGCGAGTACATAGTTTAGGCTTGGCAATTATACTTCTATAGAATTTGTCGTTCAAATAAAGCCGTTTCTAAGCAAATCGTCGTGCATACTGAACAACGAATTCCCCACGTCGAAAGATTGATAGTATATAAATCCAAGTCAAATCCATTGCCGAGCGTCCATTGTCGAAGGTATACTTGCCGGATATACCATGTTGTTCCATCGTCGTGAGATAGCGCATGCAATCTTGAGTAGTGAATACTCCAAGATCTAGAGGACTCGCTATGTTCGCCCTGCTGAATTACTCCCTAACAGCGTTTCTATTGATCAGTCTATCTGACGAAATGAGCTGGTGGAAGCACTTGAGGGCGATCGTCGTCAGTAGTTTCGTACTGTCACCATACGGAGCGGGTGAGCGCCCGTAGATACACGTATTTTGTCGCTTCAGCAGTTGTGTTCCCCAGAACCCCACCAACCCGAGCGTCCAGTACGTCTATGATTTCTCAATGCCTTTCAAAATATAAGCTCAAGGTAGCACTATCAAATAGCAAACAAATTTCTCGTGCAAGTTGCACTACGATTTCCATTTATCTATGCATGTTTCAGAATGGTACGCGCCAAATAGGCAATAATTACCGCTGAATATAGTGTAGTACTCAGAAGTGCAGTGTAACAACTGTTGGAGGGTCAAGTTGCACAGCCAGATTTCCTCCGGGTAGACGCTGTTTTGTTCGAGGTGCATTGAGAACGTAGATGCGTGTTATATGCGATGCTTATGCGTAGGATTAGCTCATGCAGTCAGCATTATAACTACAAAACTCGATTGCTAAGTCGCAAGTCTAGTTCCAATAAGCTTCAAATCAAAATGTTTAGTTTCGGGAAGATCAAACTGCATTACACGACGGAAATGGCCGTTGACCTCACCCTTATGATCTGTACAGGATGCGACCCCGCTCACTTGTATTTTGTTGTGATAAAATAACGTTTTACTTTTTGCTGTCGACTTGAGCTCTTATTCTTTATTCTAGTATGGAAGATGTTATAAAAAATGATGAGGATAAGTCAGAAAGTTAAAGGTTAAAGTTAATTGCAGTCTAATAAATATTACCATTACTTAATGTGAATGTATTAGTACTATTTCTCTCGAAGGTATTAATACTAGTTTTCTAGTGTAGAAACACTACACTTGTGTTGTATATATGACTCCACTTGACAAGCTGTCATGACACGCGACAATCTGCCTTTTGGAGGTCGCACATGAAATTCATCCGAATGAGACATGAAAATAATCCGTACCCCGTTACCCTGAGCTGGTAATAACGTCCACTCCTAAACATCTTCACGACGTTTACGGGACTAACTACGCTGAAAAGAGCCCGGATTTTCTCATTTCTTTTAATAGTTGTAAGAAAGGGGAAGCACTAAGGAGCACCGAAAGCGGAGCACCGAAGCAGAGAACGGCCGGTTTGTAACGCGCTGGCATCATACGGATAAGTGCACTTCAACTTCAGGTTGATCTAAAAAAGATGTGAGATAAGACCGCCGAGCTATCCGTGAATATAACTAGCCGACCCCCCACTCGAACTTCACAATAAATTAGCTTTGCAAGAAGATGGATGAACAAGCAGCTCCTGCAACCTACACTATCGCTCCATTTCCACCGAACGAGTACTTGTCTGAACGAGAGGCAGAAGAAGCCATCCACCAGTGGACTAGAGCACACAACTACAACGTGTCATGTCAAAGGATGAGAAGATCGAGACGGGGAAATTCGCTACAGACTCTTCGCCTGTGACCGCTCGGGAAAACCCAAAAACACAAGAAAAATAGCGGATAGTGACAGGAAATGACCTTTACGACGAACAAAGAGAGACGGGTGTCCAATGCGCATTAGCATCGTAGCTGTAGACCCGGACAACACAGCTGGTCCATGGCGGACTGTACACACTAGAGACGGGAGCAGTGCACACAACCACCCTCCCTCGAGTGATGTACGTGTTCACGCAGCGCACCAGCAAGCAGCACGGAAGACAACAACAACTTCAGTTTCAACGGGCGACTTAGTGAAGGTACAGACCATGGCCGGCGTCTTGACGTCTCGCATCTACGCTACTATGCTCATCCAGGATGAGGCTACGATGTTGATCTCCAAGGACATCGCCAACGCGAAGGCTGCGATTCGCTCTAAGCTGCTTGCAAACAGAACAAGCAATAAAGCTCTGTTCAAGATGCTCGACGATAAAGGGTTTTACTACTGCTACGAAATCGATCCGGATTCCAACCGCCTCATCTATTTGATGTGGGCACATTCTGCAACCATGAAGTCTCGGCTACAAAACTAACCGGTTCCGTATGCCGCTCCTCAGTGCAGTTATAGTAACGGGCTTAAACACCATTCTCCCGTTTGCCCAGATTTGGCTTCCTGGGGAAGCGGAACCTGATTTTACCTGGGCTCTGACAACACTCAAGACCTTCATGACGGAGCAGATAGTACCGTTGCCCAGAGTTCTCTTTTAAGATCGAGACCTAGCTTGTACCAACGCCACAGAGACCGTGTTTCCATAGTGCTCTAAGATGATCTGCTTTTGGCACATTCGTCACAACGTCGTAGCCCAAGCTCAGAAAAAGATCGGTAATGGCAGTACTGTAGCCAACGTAAATGGAATGCAGCGGAAGAAAAAAATTACACTCGAGATGGACATTTTCATGGCAAAGTTTGATGAGACCGTAGATTCAACTACAGAGGACGAATTCGAGGAGAGACGACTAAACAGTGCGATGGGCAAGTACCTGGATGCTCAGTGGTGGCCACATAGAACCAAGTTTGTACGGTGTTGGACGGATCAGTACAGCCAATTTGGATGTAGAGACACATCGACGGTCGAGGGTATGCATGCTACAATGAAATTTTGGTTTGACAACTCACAAGGTGATATCCTTAACGTCTTTATGAGCCTCCTTCTATGGTGGAGTCACGCTGCATCACGAACCAGTCTAAAAGCGGCCAACGACGAGTCCAATATTCCTACTCTATTTCGCAAGAACGACAGCTACTCAGCCGTCGTGAAGATTATCACCACTTATACCTTGAAGAAGACCGATAAAATCTGGGCGAAAGCTCGTGCCATTGTTGTTCAGAATCTTGACAGAAGTGTATGTGACGGTACATTCCGGCGGGAACATGGCCGCCCGTGCATTCACGACCTCATAACGATCATCGAGTCCGATGGGCCGAACGTGAAGCTAAGGCCTGAACAGTTTGACAGGTATTGGTGGCTTCCTAGCGCTCGCAGCTGTGATACTGAAAGCGTTCTAGAACCAGCATCACGTCGTAGCGGTCGCCGTTTTACCGCCCAGCAAAGGTCTCATCAAGCCGGCTACGAAGCCTACAGTACACGTCGAGAGCTGTCGGGCTTTGAAATTATCGAGCAGAACTTAGCAGCAGAACGGGTGCACGCTGCACACGTGCTATCGTTTACTGAGCTGCTCCAAAATGAAGATACGGTTCCGTAAGAGCAGGAATTCTTGCCTCGCTGGTGGGGATATGCAGGACTGAGATCATTAAAAAAAACCCTGCTAATGTACGACCTTTGAAGTTTAGCATCTGGCTTGGTTTGCTATTCAACATGTGTTGTCACACGCCGGGCGTTCTCTGCTTCGGTGCTCCGCTTACGGTGCTCCTTAGTGCTTCCAGTAAGAGAGGCGCTTCGCGATGCTAGAGTGTCATGACAATCATTTCGCTATCCAATCAAGTACCGGAAAATACAATTCCTTCGCTTTCCTAAGTAAAATATAGTAGTTTACGTCAAATCGTCGGCGTCCGACCCTTATCTTTTATCGGAAATGGTTTATTAAGCATCCGCATTTGACTGAACTTCACTATACTAAGCCTTTCCATCAACTTCTATAAAGAAATCGTAAGTCGTTACCGCCTACGATTACCACAGCCTCCCCTTGGCTGGATCAATTCAGAAAAACGCATCGAACGTAGGCACAACGAGTGGTGGGAGTTCGCAACCCACGGGTGGTGCAGCAAGCGATGTATAGGCAATACGCGATGCCTGCGTGTCCAAGCACACCAGAGGGAAGTATAAGAGCAGTCTGAACGGTATCAAGAGGTTTTTTGACGAGCACGACGAACTTGTTCTAACGGAGTTTACTATGTTTCCTAGTCTGTGTGGTGAGGTCAATATGATGAGAATATTACAGTTATGCCTCGCTAGTCGGGTTCAACACGCTCATTATCTACAGACGCATTTACTAACTGACCACGCTCTACTTTCAACGCACGTAATACGAAATCCAGTGGTGCTTGAAAAGTTTCAGTAAGAGCTTGCAACTGGCGAGTCTCCGTGGATGCAACCCACTGGAATACCGCCTTATATCGAGTTATATAAAAAAAAACTTGACAAACAACATGAATCCATTGATGTGTTGCCAGAAAAGTTAAAAAAAAGGATGAAGCACGTGCTGGAAAGCAAGGGTGTTGCAGCTGGGATATTACGCGAGAGTTATTTTGCGAAGAAATTCACAATACGTTAGCAGAAGTCGGTCTTCAACGTAATTTACTAACTCGCGACGTTGTAGCTAGTACTGCACCAAAACGCTCGTATTTTACATGGGGTGGGAAGTTTCACCTTCTTCCCAGTGAATTTAACTTTCCCCTATTTGACCCCCTAGGCGCATGGCTGCTTTGGTGGTTGGGAATCGAATCCTCGGCTACCCTCCGTATAGAGGGATGATTTAGATACCCCTCAGAAGAAAGTAACGCTATCTGAGTGGTCAATCATGATGGGACACATCACGAACGGAATTGAAGCGCACTTGGGCACTCCAATGCCTACAGTCGTCGATAAACCCCACGCTATCAAGTTGTTTAACATAGCATATGAGGTACTTGGACTAAAGCCGAGCAAACGAAAGCGTAGAACAGGACAGCTAAAGCTGTCAACAGTTCTCAGACTCATCCGACAAAATGACCAAGATCAGGAAAGAGACCACCAACCAACCTCCAAACCACGAAAACGGCCAAGACGCACAAGTGATGGTGTTCACTCTGCTCACGACGACGTAGTAGAAGCACAAACAGTATTTGAATCTTGGCAATAAATGATTAAGCTTTTGATTGTTTTTCAACCAATCACATCACATCATCATACCGTCGCAGAATGCCTCTTGCGTTTTCTCAAGTCGATTAAATACTGCACTGCTACATGTGGAAGAGCTACAAACTGAGAAAGAGAACACACTAGTCTAATCGAGGTATTGTTGTGTAGAAGTCGTCCGAAACAGCTATATCTCGCGATTTTAACATAGATGTACTAGGAGAACTCATGCTTTCCATTACCTATTGCAGCTTCTAGCAGCAATAGATAAAGAAATTCTACTATTAGTTTTACGCTAATTTGTAGCCGAATGCCTCAGACATAAGAGTCCGATCGAGTCATTCTAACCCAAAATCACTGTAGTATGTTATACTGAAGAACCCAAAATTAATCGGTGTGACCTTTATGAGTAGCTGGCTTGACAGTACACTACGAAAACCAACACGTTATGATGTTCTACTGACGTCGTAATATTACACTTTAGTAATGTTTTGATTCTTTCAGAAAACTGATATAGTGAAATTCTTTAGCCAAATCAATACAACAACTCTGATTGGAGGAAATATATAAAACTGCCAAATGCAGGTATTGATCTTTTGCACACCAATATGGAAAAAATCATCGTAAACAAGTGGATACATGTGCCCCGTTACAGCATGACTTGAGCTGAAAAAGTTGAATAGCAATGAATTTACTTTTTATCTGGTGTAAAGCAGGTAGATGTGTCCTATAAAGTCCTAGTGACATTCACGTCTTGAAGAAAACAACTAAGTGGAGCGTAGCATACGTATTTATAAGCAACAAAATCTTCATAACCTGGCATGTTTGGGCATGATATTCACGATTGCAGGCTGTATTATTGCTATTCATTCCTTACCGCAAACAGTGATGACACCACGCAGATGTGCAATCGTATATAGACAGGTAATCAGTTGTAGCATCAACATGGTATGTTTAGCTATATTTGCCTTCTCTTCGGCAACATTGTGGATTACTGGCATTTTAACCCTTTCGCGAACGGTACTTTTGACATGACTATATTATAGTATAGAAGATCAAGCCATTAGGCAATCAAAGGAGGCATTTTGCCCCCTTTCATAAACGACGGTACTACAGCAAATCTTCTGCAAATCCCTTTAGTTCAAGTAGAAAGGGCGAATCCGCCTCGTCCAACACACAAGAAATAATGAAAGGGGGCATTTTGCCCCCATTCGTGGGTGACAGGAGTGATACTCAAGGATACGCCCTCCAAGGGGGCAAAATGCCCCCATTGACCACGAAAGGGTTAAGAAATACCTGGTAATTAGTTTATTTTCTTGACGAATTATTTTATTATCCACCCAATCGATTAAAATAAAGGCCGAAAGCCGATAGCCAGGCGAACCGATTCACCAGGGCTACTAACACTTCTAAACGTATTTTTTGGAAAGCCAAAAGTCACCCCAACTAGTTGGTTGGAGCTCGAGGCTTGATGGTAATCCAAATCTAGTTATGGCTCACAAGACGAAACCTGTGAATGAATGCACATTTATTTAATTCTTTTTTTGCGGAAGTGCTCGTATCTGAAACCAGCTACGCACCATAATGGAGCTATGATTGTTAAGTAAAAGGACTATGTACAAAGTAGTGTGCTCCACAAAAAATCGGTCGCGCTGCTCATCGACCTCGAAAACTCGACGCCGTTTACAATGCGCTTCAGCACGAGAGCACCACGTGCACTGATGTGGGTTTTCTATTTGGCGGCGTCGTGGCAACCAAGTGGGTGTCAAGAAGAAGAAGAAGAAGAAGACCCGCTGCGACAACACCGTTGCCATCTTGTGCGAAGGCAAAAGGTGCCGCGTGTCAACGCGTACTAACTTTAGTTACAGGGCGCTGACAAAGTTAGTGCCACTGACCTCGAACAGGGTTGAGCGTTTGTTCTCGACAAGCAAGCTGATCATGCTGCATGATGGCAGCGTCAAAATGACCGCTTTCTTGCGCGTGAATCGAGAAATGTGGAACGCAGCGACGTTCATTGGACAGGACGAGTCGGTGATACGTTCGTGTGCTGACTTTGTGCAACACATTGATATTTGAGAGAGTTATTATTATTTGACCTAATCTGCAATTATACTTGTTACTACAGCTTGTTATTCACCTCCAGTTTCTTTTTTACCCTGAGCTGCTACTGTTCTTTTTTGTCTCGATCCTGTGCGTTTTCGACGAAGGATGAAGATACAGGTAGAGTGAATTGAGGATATAGTTAAGACCTCGCCTCCAGTCAAATACAACTCCGGGTCCGTCAACTACGAGCCAACCTCCGAAGAAGAAGAAGAATCCGGCAGCGAAGAAGATGCCAAGACCAGCAAGAAGCCCAAGGCATCGTCGCCCATCCGCAAGGTGCAGCACCGCGTCAAGAAGGAGTAGCGGGTGCCACTATCGCCCCGCCGTCTACATTGCATGGAGGCACAGACCAAGTCATTCCTGATGAAGACGATGAACGACACGCACATTCGTCTTGTCAAGAACCTCACCAAAGGCCTATGACATCTTCCAAGCCATCTGCAAGAACTACGAGGGTGCCGCATTCCATGGCGACCCGTACTACATCCTGCACTTTCTCATGGAGACGAGGAAGGCAGTGATGTGAATGAGTTCTTCCTCGTTCTAGAAGACACGATGAGAGCCGTGTCCAAGGCGACCGAATCGGTCCTCACAGGCCGCCAGAAGTCTGTCTACCTGTTCCACTATATACCAGCGTCCTGGTAGGACGACCTGCGTATTTGGAAAGGTAGCTGGAAGTACATCCCGTGTGACGAGCTCAAGACGAGCATCGAGGACAAGATCCGCAAAATGGAGTACGAGAAGCGCTACACTCTGACAAAGGGTACCCCCGAGAGCCGCACTACTAAGGGCGAGCGAGCTCTCATTGCTCCAGCCCAAGCTCCGGCATATCCCGTGTCGTCTGAGCAGGTGTGCAGCTACTGCCAGAAGCCTCGCCACGACATTCGCCAATGCCGCAGTCTACAGAAAGACCTGCGAGATGGTACTGTCAAATCCTGGACCGTCCTGCCTGCGAACGTTGAGTTCCGCGGCGGTAACTCCAACCGGTCCAACCCCTACGAACAACGTGACAGCAATTCAGGGCGTGGCCGCGGGTCTTGGCAGAAAGGCGGGCGAGGTCGGAACAACGGCAGACGTGGCGGCAACAACCGCGACAATAACAGCAAGGGACGCCAGCCTTCTCGCCGTGAAGAAGGTGACTACGACCAGTCTCGTCGTGAAGACGCTCGCATCACCGTCGCCACGGTAGTCATGCCCATTGCACCGGTCATCAGCCTTACGGCTCAAGCCTCCTCCACCTTCGACTCCAACTGGACTGTTGAGTCTGGGTGCACCAGCCACGTCACTCAACATACCGAGTGGTTCGTTTCCAAGACCGCTGCTACTGGAACCATCACGGTTGGTGGTAAGTCCGAGATTCATTGAAGGCGCCGGTGACGTTGTATCTTAGGTGGCTGATTCAAAGGGAGGTCACGCCAGCTAATACTACGTGATGTGCTTTATGCACCCCAACTGCACTACAACCTTCTATCGGTTGCTACAGCCGTAGAACATGACTTCCGCTTTACGTTCCAGCGAACTGTGTGCACGATGCAAACCGACCAACGTTTCAATGTCAAGGCGAAGAAGTCGGCTACAGCGAAGCTATACTAGTTCAAGGCCACTCCGGTCCAGCAGCAAGAAGCCCACGTGGCCACCTCAGGTAAGGCCACTGCTATAATGGTGTTGCACAAAAGACTTGGTCATCCTAACATTCGTGTCTTACAGGCAGTCACTAAAGACCAAGCACTCCAAGGACTCGACACTAACACCGTAGTTCCCAAAGACAGTTTCTTTTGCTCTGCATGTACTTACGCAAAGTCACACCGCGCTGCATTTCCTTCTGATAAACGTGTTGAACGGGCTTCACAACCTTTGCAAAAAGTCCATTCTGATATCTGTGGACCACTCCCCGTTCCTAGCCTCAATGGCTGTCGCTACTTTGTTGTTTTTATTGATGAATTTACGTGCTACATGTTTGCGTACCCTATCAAGGCTCGCAGCCAACTCTACTCCTGCTACGAAGACTTTAGGATGAAAGCCCTGCATATATTTCGCTCAGATGTATATACGCTAGAGTATCCAGGATCCACCTCGGACTTGGATGCAAGCTGATAATGCAAAGGAGTATGAGAAGCTGGTCGCAGTCTTTAAGTGGTACGGCACACACACGCAATTTACAAATGCTTACACATCCCAACAAAATGGTGTCACCGAGCGACGTATGCGCACGATCATGGAACGCGTCCGTGCCCTCTTACTTGATGCAAAGCTACCCAAGACATTATGGGCTGAATGTGTTAGTCACGGGACTACACTTCTTAACATGGCACCCAGTGAAAACACGTACACATGCAGTCCGTACAAGCTGTGGTACAATCGTAAACCAAGCGTTCAGCACCTGAAGGTTTTTGGGTGCGCGGCGTACGCCCACATCAATGACATCTACAGGGATAAGCTAGATGCACGAGCGAAACTCTGTCTATACCTCGGTATTCCAAGCCACAAGAAGGGGTATCGTCTCATGGACGTTTCGACACGAGCCGTAGTTTACAGCCGTGACGTCGTCTTTCAGGAAGACTGCTTTCCAACCCTTGAGAATATCGACGACACACCCGATCCATTGCCACTACCGGCTCATCTGGCTGATACTGCCCCGTCTGGTGATAGTCCCACGTCCAATACTCAAACCAGCCAATCCCCAAGGGTCGGACCAAGCAGCCCCGAAGGTCAAACCTAACGTCCCACCCCTTATAACACTTGCAGCGACGCCGACTCCGCTGAATGATGCCACTGACAGTGGCGAAATCATTTATTCTTTTGTAACGGAGGCGCCTTCAACACCTCCAAATCCCCCTGCCAAACGCCCTCGATACGAGAAAGCAGTTAACCTTACAGAGCTTACATCAGCGGAAGATATTCAGGAACATAAAGACCGTACAACTCAACCACTTCGCCTATTTGCTATTCGGTATCTACCTGAGCCTAAGTCGTACAAAGCAGCCATGAAGTCTTGCTACGCAATGGCGTTTTGCTGCTGAGTCGGAAGTTAAGCCCCTCATGACGAAGGAGACGTGGATTCTGGTTCCACCTCCTCATGGCCGCCATGTTCTTCAAAATCGGTGGGTCTTTGTTGTCAAGTACACAGGCACGGGTGAAATCGACAGCTTTGAGGCCCGCCTATTTTTTAAAGGCTTCTACAATGAAATCTTTTCTCCTGTTATCAGGATGGAAGTCCTTCGACTACTCCAGATCATAGCTGCATTGCTAGACTACGAGGTCCATCAGATGGACGTAAAGACAGCTATCCTAAATGTCTTTCTCTCTGAGGAAATATACACGGCCCAGCCGAAAGACTTTGCTGTTGCTGGCCAAGAGCATCTTGTCTGCAAACTCTTAAAGAGCCTCTACGGCCTTAAGCAAATGCCTCGCATTTGGTATCAGACACTGTGTGCCTTCCTTGAGAGCCTCGGCTTTCGCAAGCTGATCAAAGATAGCTGTGTCTTTATGGCAACTTTTGATGGCCAAGTATGCTACATTGCCGTCTATGTGGACAATCTGTTTATCATAGCAAAACCGTAAGCTTTGTATGCCGTATTAAATCGGCTCTGAAACAGAGATTTTCAATGACAGATTTAGGGGAGGTACATTCTCGGCTGGTCCATTGCACGGAACCGTGAAGCCCGAATGATATTTATCCACCAACAAAAGTACGCCACAAATGTGCTTGATAAGTAGAAACATCTCATTTCGTACCCTACTGCGGCGCCCTCAGATCGCAGCATCAAGTTCACGAAAGCCAGGGAGCCTCAGACCCAAGAAGAGAGGGAGGCAATGAAAGACATTTCATACAGAGAAGTCGTAGGCAGTCTAATGTATTTCATGGTTGGCACTCGCCCCGATCTAGCATTTTACATGCGCGAAGTCAGTCAATTCCTAGTAAACCCTGGAAAGAAACACTGGAAAGCTGTGGTAAGAGGCCTAAAATATCTATCTGGCACGGCTGACCAAGGTCTGTTGCTTGGTGGATCAACGTCAGTTGGTGTTAGTACCCTAGCTGATCATTTGACAGCCTGCACAGACTCTGACTATGCTAATTGTCCTGGCACTAGAAGGTCAGTTGGCGGGTACGTCACGATGATCGGGACAAGTTCCATCTCGTGGCTATCGAGGAAGCACCATACTGTCGTGCTCTCGACTACAGAGGCTGAATACATTGCCTTATGCCATTGTATGCAATAGGTCATCTCCCTCAAACTGCTACTCAAAGAGCTAGGTTTCTTGACAACCAAAGCCAATGTTATCAAAGAGGACAATCAAAGCTGCATTAAAATCGCTAGTATCCCGGAACTACACGGACAATCAAAGCATATTGATATCCGTTACCATTTTGTTCAGGAAAAAAATAGAACGACACGAATTTAGCGTCACTTACTGCAACACTAAGTCAATGGTAGCAGACATCTTTACCAAGTCACTTGACAAGCATCAGTTCCGGAATTTAAGAAGACAACTAGGAATGCAATCACTTAGTGAATTAGCGAATAGGTAGATCAATAAACACGGTCCAATCATATTCATTTCACAATATCAATGAGTCACAGGATAGTGTGGGGTTTCCCCTACAATAGGTTTATCCACTGCATTCTATAGGTTTTACTCTCACTAAGGTTTCCCTGGTACACAGCCGCCGAATAAACTAACAATAATAATGTGAAAATAAATGACAAAGTCAAAAGAAGCAAATCTATTATCTGCTTAAGCCTCCAGAGCTACCTTACGCACAAACATTAGGCTATTGATCCACTCGCCGTATTGCTCCAAGCTGCGCGTGACCGACTCATCATGAGCGGTGTACTTGTGACTTACACCTCCAGGACGAACGCGTGCCAGACGCCCATGGTGTTGGCGGCCACAATGTAGAATCCGTCTTCGAGCTTAAGACGCTTGATACCAGCAATACCACGGTGGCCAGTACGCTGCCGGTTGTACTCAAGGTCCTTGAGCGAAATGCGCGATCCAACACGCTTCAACTGGGCCAGAAACGCCCTGAACACCTTCCAGCTGACACCGCGAGACAAATCAGCTCCACGCTTGTCAGCATCAGCGAGAAATCGCTCCACTTCGGTGTCCGGCACTGCTGATGGCTCACCCAGTAACTGCACAGCTTGGTGCAGCGCGCTGAACAAGCAGGTCCCGCTTGCGCTGGCGCCAATAAGCGTCGGAATTGTCCTTCTCGCCAACTGCAGAAAGTCGTCCGGACGCCCAGCCAGCATCCACGCATCCACCATGAGCATAGCATAGCCAAGGCCGTCCACCTTGAGCCACTCCTTCAGCTCCCACGTGGGGTCTAGCTCTCCGTCCCCTTGTAGCCATCAGGCTTCTTCCAGACGACTTGGATGGTACGCGCCATGGCTGTTCAGGGTTAAAGCAACCCCAATACAACCAAAACACACACACACACACACACACACAAGCAAGTAAAGGCAAAAGAACAGTTTATTTAAAATTACCTGCCTCTGCCCTGGATGTCAAAAGTGGAAATGAGCGCATGCATGCAGGCGTCGGCACGAGGTCTGCAGAACGCACGACAAGTGCTGGTGACCATGTGGTATGCAAAGACTTGCCTAGATACACAGTGCTGGATTTCTTTTGCGATACAAAAAAGGCAACTTTCGATGTAACGGTTCCACCGCAATCATCCCTGATGACGTCCGGTAAGCGACGAGCCAGGGAGGCTGTTGAAGCTAGACTCGTCTCTAACTCACGACTCATATAAAGCATAATATGCATTATAATAAGGGCAACTTGCCTTTCTGAAACGGTTGGCAATGGCCAACCTGTACTGTGTTTTAGGCAGTAGTATAGAGTTTTCTAGCTTAGTTTTCTTCTAACTGCTCATTAATGTTTATTCTTTCTTTCACCAACGCTTCGACAAGTCCTTCTACTCTACGTGCTGAAGCTGCCCCGTAACAGCTGAGACCTTGCAAGGCATTGGGGAACGGCATCAAGAAATTGCAACTGATGGCACTCCAAACTGCCATGGCAATATGTCGTGTCATATGCAGCTGTAAATCAATAATACTTACCAAAGATGAACAAATACGCTATGCAGATATTTGTATAATGCTTCTGCGAAGCTTAGCACAGCGGCCGCTACTACGTCAGCGCTTTCTGTTATAGAAAATTTCACCGTACAAGCAATGCAAGGTATCGAGAAATTCATTCCTAAATGGATATGGCACACAGATCGCACAGAAATCAGTCCTAGCATTACGGTAGGCATGGCGCCATGGCACGCAGTTAGAACGCGGACTATGCAAATTCGGGGCAACCGTGACAATTTTGGTCTATCGAAACTGACCAATCATGTAACGATATTTCGGTGTTATCAATTATGATTGACCTGCTATAAGGTACCATATAAGAGACAGGTTAAGATTCAGCGATGCTGTTTATTGAAATCAAGTGGAATGATGTGCCTCGTTGGAACTCACGATACTGACAGGGGTGTCGCCTGCAGGGTTGTTAGAGCAGTCCAATGGGGCCTCGTACGTCACGGTGGTCGGCACGTTGTCTGCCGTGCGGCCTGCAGCCGTAGGCACCCGTCGGGAGCAGGTCACAGAACGAGTGGAACTGCAGTCTGTCCTGGGTAGGGGGTAGTTCGGCTTCAACTTCAGGTAAATTGCCAATTAACGGTAGTGCCACCATTTTGTTTCGGACTTGTAGCTGTGCATCGACCAAAAAATTCAAGGCCTCACGGGTATTCCTGAAAAGCTGACGATTTTATCAGGTTACAAAGTCATTCACCTAGTGTGATTTTAATTCAATAGAAAAGTAAAGACAGTAAAGTGATTAAGAAAACATATATGAATACAGCTCCTGCCGGTGAGAGCCACTTCTGTGCTCCTAAGCCGGTATGCTCAGAAACCATCTTTGGCAACTGCCCCAAGATGCAGGACGGACTGACGCAGGACTCTGAGTGTATGGTCGTTGATACGGGCGTGTACGGCTGCGTGTTCATGGCCAGCACCTAAGTGACAAGGTAGGTCGAACGAAGGAAAACTTTAAATGAATGAAATGCAACGCTCGTATGCTTCGGTTTATCGTGTGAAACCTATCGCTACCGCATCCTTCCAAGCACGATTTTCTTCACGCTCAAAAGATCGAACTCTCACATCTTGACGGCCCACGTGGACTTGCACACTGGGCACTTGCAGGTTGTGCAAGGGCACTTTCCGCCGGACGGACAGTCACACGCAGTACAGCTTCCTCCATCGTCTTTTTTATCATGACACTTGGAGCACTTGCACTTGCCAGCAGGGCACTCACATCCCGGACATTCTCCAGCTGTAGCACGCTGGGCAGCGGCAATGCACGAGCCACCACACACAACGGTCGCCGACGTGGCCGACTTGATCGGAGGCTCGATTTCCTTCGCAGCGCTAGTCTTGCTAGCGCAAACTTGACACTGGCAGTTCTCGCACGAACATTTGTCCGCCAGCGATCCGCAACTCTTGCACGACCCGTGGCTTTGGTGCTTCTCCGCCTTATCTTTTACACTCTCCGCAGCATGTCCGCTCGTCTGGGCCTCAGACTTGTCATCTTGGTGGTCTGCAGCCGGCAGGTGCGTGTCTGGTCGGCCACGCACTGGAGCACCCAGCCCAGGCGGATCTTCCTTCAGGTTGTGCTTGACATTGGTCATTGTTCCGATCGCCATCTTTTTGAAAAGTGAGCTCTCGCCACTTGGCAGACTTGTGGTCTTGGGTGGCGATCGTATTCTTCGTCCCGGTTCGCAGACGTCGCTCCCATATGCGACGATGGCGAGCTCTTTCGTCTTTGGGCGATTTAACAGTGTAAGTTACAACGAGGATCAAAGCAAACACCTTTCAAAGAACTCCTTTGATTTTTTCACTGTTGGCAGCCAAGCTGCAACTCCCTACACATGCAAAACTAAATTCTGCTTGGTGACATGATTCTCGGTTGCTTTGCTACTTTTGCTGCGTCTTCCAACGCTAGTCCACTCCTACTACTTCTGTGTCCCATGTTCCTCTTGGACGCGTCGATATCCACTCATAGATGTTCTTGTTTCTCCTTTTCAGCGTCTCGCCACCTACAAACCACTGACGGATCTTCAGCCATAATAGGCGTAATTTAGTGCAGCAAGCCGCACTTGCACTGGCCGCTGGGGCTACCACACTCAATGCACTGACCATGCTGCACACCGCCACTACTAGCGCTGGTCGCATGCTTACTCGCCTGATCGCCGGACGGACTCATCTCCTGTCTCGACGGGTGATCGCTCATCTTCTGTCCAGCCTTCTCCTTGGCATCCATCTCTGTCGACGGCATCTTCTTGCTAGCCTTTTCCTTGGCAGCGCACACAACACAGTTGCATCCTTGGCACGAACACTTGTCCGGAGGACAACCACAGCCACGACAGGCCTCGCGCTTGCAGCTGCACGAACTGCACTTACAATCTTCACACGAGCAGTTTTCCGCCGATGACGTGCAACTCGCACAGTCTCCACGGTGATTGCAGCACACTCGACACTTGCAGTCCTTGCACGTGCACTCTTTTGCCGACGAGCCGCAGGTCGAACACACGTCGTGCTTGGCATATTCTTGCTTCGCAGGTTTCTCGGACTTGTGTTTGCCACCGCCACGACTCATAAAGTGTCCCAGCTTCTTCGCTGACAAGCAGCGCTTCAAATGCGCCATCTCCAAAGCCGATTGGGCCCAGGCCACGCCGTGGTTGCACTTCTGGTCTTCGCCAGCCCCGCACGAGCGCTTCTCCGCACACGTGTAGGCTTGTGACTCGCTATCGCAGCATAGAACGCCGTAAATGACTGGCGTATCGAACGTCACGTTCAGCTTCATGATCCCGTTGGCCACAGCGTGACTCATGGTCTCGCACGTGTGCGTAGCGTCGTTCACTAGGCAACCGATGCAGATCACAGCGTCCGGACGGTGGCTTGCATCCTTGCAGTGGACCAGCCGAGCAGCAGCAAATGGCAGTTCAAAAGCCCCGGCCACCTCCACGACGTGCAGATCTTCCTCGGCCACACCCTTGGCCAGCAACTCGTCCGAACACGCGTCCACCAGCGACTGGATCACCTTCTGGTACCATCGGGCCGCTACGATCGTGACTCGTAGGCCACTGCCATCAAGTTTGCTCGATTCAGCGGTACCGGGCTGCTCAATGAGCACAGGACTGTGCGTCGCTTCCGACTTGCCTTCTTCATGACCGTGTGAAGCACCTACCGGGTGCTCCTCCTTAGTTGAAATCTTCATCTTCGACGTCGTCGTCTCAACTCCAGGGGCCATCGTTATCGTTGTCACCAGTGAGGTGCAAATTCAAGACTGACCAACAAGTAGTGATCCCTTCCTCTCCAGCTTCAACATTCTATAGTGCGACGCGGCGAGACCTTCAAGATCATTTGAGTAGGGGCTGACACTACACCGTTAGTATGGGATACGTACAGCTCGAACCATCAGACCGTTGCTCATTCTTCTGCACAAGTTACAGTCTTTGTTAGTCTCGCCAAGGCTCTGGCAGGCTGTGCCCACTCGACCATGAAGCCTTTTTCCTCTCTTCGTAAGACCAGTGCAATGGTGAGCATGCTCCAAATTATCGTTGCTGAGACACCATAAACAACGTGGACGTTGGTCGACCTTAACGGGTTCTTGAACCTGCACGGGTCTCAATGCTGCGAAAAGCTTGTTTGCACTCCCATTCCACGATTCCGCCACGGCAACAATGCAAAAACCTTGGTCGTTTCACATTATCATTACACGACACCCCATTATACCTCTTCCGCTTTCTCTATCGACAGGATTAAGCTACTCTGTAGCAAGGAATTTGACACCGTCCTCCTCGCACGTTTCCCCAGCGATCACCGCGGCCTGGCAACAAGTGCAACATCCGACTATTAGATCCAGTACCAAATATCTTCAGTTGTAGCAATGGTACTGCACCTTTCCTTCTCCTTCCAGCACTCGGAGCGCCTCACGCAGTAGCCAGGGCTCCATCCCGTGAATATCTGCGTTTCCAACCACACAAAAATCAGTACCTCCTCCTTCAATCCTTCTCATTATCCGTCTCGCTCACTTGTGCCAAGCGTTTCCTCCCCCGCGTACAGCTCGTAGACCGTAAACACATTGCCCAGCATGCCATGTTCCTTGGCCTGTAACGATGGCATCATATGACACCCATGAAAATATCAGTATTGCACCAATCATTTCAATACACCAACATTCCACCAACAAAGTCGTATATCTCGGCCGCCCACTCGGCGGGCTTCTTCCACATGATGCGACAACGCGTCTTGGTGTCGTCCTCCCAACGTCCGTGTCCACAGCGGATCAGATGCTCCACCACAGCCATGCGTCCGTCTTGCGCCATGTTCCTCGAGATTTTCACATTCTCAAACAGCGTCGAGGCCAGCGGCTGGAAGAGCGGAAGGTCGTGCGCGCGATGGTACTCGAGGATAAGTTGCTGCCATAACACGAGCTGCTTCTCTCGCGTGGCACGCACGGGTTGAAGCGTGAAGAACGGGGGAAAGTCGTAGTATTCCGGGTACGAAAACTTATCCATGTTCGTTATTGACTTGGAAAATTACACAAGCGAAGTAAAATACGCGATAAAAATTACATGATTTGTAAGTAAAATATATGCAACTGGTTCAGTGATCTAACGTTTAGCCACGCTTCCTTGGACTACTTCGAAGTACTTGTTCAGCCTCCGCTCGTAAGCTTACGTATTAGTCACGCTAGTTTAGACTTAACTCTTTGATACCCGGATAGTTAGTTCAAGGTAAGGTGTCAAAACTACGGTAATTATTATGGATATCTCCAGCAGGTGTCGACACGTCTTTGCCAGGGACTTGCGTCGACAAGGACTACGAGATGAATCACTTGACATAAGTACACTGCATTTGTCTTAATAGTTGTGGCCGATGGTACTGTCTTGCGCTACGAGTGCTTGTTCCAACACAAAAGCAGCATCTTCTATCGATCCTAAAACCTGCACAAGAGACGGCAGAATGTCTATTGTGTTCTCCATTCTTGCGATTCGCTTGCTTGATCTGTCCCACTCAAAGCTGAGGCGGCAAGGGAGAAACAACCGCTGCTTTAGTAATTTCGACCGCAGAATTGCTGCATTTCCATCGCTTGACAACAAACGAGGGAAAACGTGCTGCAGAGTGGATTCCGAAATGGTCACATTGAGTGAAGCGGTAGCTGCGAT